GTCAATGGGGGTCTTGTATAAATATAGCAAGTTGTGCGAATACCTGCTCGATAAAAGGTAACTTTTCCACAAATCTTGTCGTTCCAACATAAATATAAATATGTCAAAAACCTGGTATCATCGACAAAACTTTTATTATACGGAGTTTTAGTGGCGCCATTTATCCTAGGTCCACGAAACCGTCAGCTCTATCTGCTACCGCGAACAGCCGCTAGAAGTTGGAGGGGGACGGGGACGGGGGCAGATGAGGCCCCTATGACCAGGATGGGACTTTCCTCCTTTCACCATATTGTTCGCGCTGCGCCAGCACGTGGTCACACGGTCGCAAGCGGATGAGTTCTCAATGCTCACTGATAACTCTAGAGGGAGCTTCACCGGAACACCACGCGACCCCCATTGACGTCACAGCGCACGTGACTCGGAAGGTGGTGAAGGAGTTGAGAGGTGCCGGAAACCACAATTTTTGTCCATTTTTAAAATAAAAACTAGGAGATGCAGGCAAAAGCGGTTTTGATGCCCTTTACTTGAAAAAGGTCGAGGCGCCAACTCCCAAATTATTTAAGCAAAGCACTGAAATTGTTGCATGGGAGCTCCTTTAATTGGATGAGCGCGGACACCGCTGAGCACCTGACCACACACACGCCGAGCGGCCGACATTTCAAAATGCAGTCAGCGGCATCTAAAATAAATTGTGTGGTTGACGTCAAAATAACAGTGAATATTATTGTGACGTCCTAGACGTCAAAATAAAAAAAAAACTTATTTTGACATCCGTGACGTCATTGGCCACGCCCACTAAACATTAAATCGGTTCTGGAAAAAAAAAAACAACGGGGAATTCATTTTTCGAAACCAAGTTTCGCGACAAAAGATTCGCCAACAAGATGCATCGTGTGAATAGACTACTAATCTGCCTGCACGTTTATCCATGTACAACCTATGACACAGGATGTAGCAAACTACCGCGTGAATACCGCATCATAAAGCGCAAATTTGCCATGTCCGCAATCCACGTTATCAGTTCCCGTTTTATGCGCTTTGTAGCAAAAAGCCCAGTGTCTTTTCGCTTTTTTTTTTATAAATTTTTGCTGTCGCATTTTTAAAGACAGCCCACCACATGTTTTTTTCCCCCATTTATTTCCATTTTGTGTGAGCGTCGTACGGGATTTTACGGTAGTGATATACGAACGCACACCGGTAAGACGCTTATCCAGATCGAAACGAGGACAGGTGGGGATTTTCTGCAGCACGAGCTTTCGCTCCACGTGCTCGGAGCTGCGGTGCGCTAACACACTAGGCCGCCGATTCCCCGGGCTTCCGGTCCGCAGGACGCTACTAGCACTGCAGAGAAGACCGCAATCATATTTAAGAGCCTACCTTTTTTTGCGGTTTCCACGCCTCTTGGGGTTCGGGCAAGCCAGCGGGCACGGAGAGAGTAACTAAATATCAGAGCGTTATATTTTAACCCGGACGACGCAGAAACCTCCTCCACCGACGGGGGCAACCCGCGGTGCCGAAAGCGCGCGATATGCGACGTCTTAGGTCCTGGGCTTACTACTGGTCAGAGCTGCTAAAAGCTTCTTTTTTGTCGAAATACAATATATAAGTGGCGCGAACTGTTTCAATTATTTATAAAAGTAGTTTTTGACATTTTTAGATCAGAAAAGAAACAAATGCAGTTTATAGTACGGGAGCAACAAATGACCCGCCGACATACCCGCCACCAAGCGGTGTAAAAGGCGGCGCATAATAGAAAGATGTTGTGGGATCAGGCGCCAACGAGCGGCAAGCGTAGAAGGGTCCCGGATGTACGCGGCGGCGCTGCGGTGGTACGGACTGAAGGATCCGACCGGTTCCGAGCGTTCCCAAGGCCTTTGGCGAGCAGCTTTGGCTTAAGGTTTGGCCTTTTCGCGGTATGGCAGCGCGAAGTGGCTCCCGTTCTGAACTGATCTTTACCCCGTGTTTGCTGTCGTTTGTGGCCAATGAAGTGTCATGCCGAATTAGTGTTTAATCGCGCAGCAAATGCAATGCGAGCTGCCCTGGCACACGCGGAAGATTACAGCCGCCATTGCCGACCTTCTCTTGTCTTACATAGAGCACTATATAGCTCCTTCGGAGCAGAGTAGCGCAATCTAGAACGCCGCATCTCGGCGACTAGCGGCGAACGCCCGGAGGTTCCAACTGCGGTCAGAAATGCATGGAGAACGTGAGAAAATCGTTGTTTCTTCAGTATTGTGGGAATATACGAAATGGCAATCGTTTTTGACATAATAATGAAACATTTTAGAATAATTTGCGCTAAGTTTTGCGCCCCGCAAGAACCTGACTTTTTTTTTAAAAAAATTGCTTGAGCGGCATCATGCAGCAGACGACACGGCAACGTCACACCATTCACGTGACCCGCTCCGGCCAACCTGAAAAGCCCATCTCCGCTGCGAGCAAAAATCGTCTGCTTCAAACGCCATTGCCTTGGAAATTGCCTTCTCGAAATTTGCACACGCATCCGATGTCATTAAAACTTTGACAAAGTGTTTAGTGCTTTACTAACTTCACGGCTGACTAGTTTTGAAAAGTGTGAACTCGGCGTTCATTTTTGAATCAGCCGTGTTGTATCGATCTCCATGTATTCTCCCATAGGGCGGGCCGCCTCCTGGAACCCTGAGTACCACGCGACTCGCGCCGAGCCGCTCTGTCGGCCATCTTGTCGGCAAAACACAGGGTTCAAAGGATTGCGCTACTCTGCTCCGTAGGAGCTATATAGTGCTCTAGTCTTACCGAGATAACGAGCCACTGAAACGGGCGTTGACGAGCCTCCACAAAAGCAAATGGCGAGAAGGAAGCAATAAAATCTAAAATGAAATCAACTTGCCGGCTGCCCTGCTATGATAATGATGAAGTGAAGTAAACGAAATAAGAGGAAACAAAAAACTGAAGGTCCGTTATGGCGGCGCACATACACAGCTACTGCAAATTCATGTTCGCTTTGCCTAGCTTCATACAGCTGATCCAGAACATGCATTAGTGGCGCCCTCTCGAGCCGTCGACACGGAGTGCGGCAGCCGTGCTCGCTAGCTCACTACCTCTAGTGTAGTTCATGGCCACTGAAGCAACCAAGGACGTCATGGGGGTTATTTTTTGTTTTTTGTAATTTTAATTTGCCTATAACTTCTAAAATAAAGCGAAATTTGAGAAAAGTTTCACTAAGTTACTACGTTCAGTGCGCTCAGGTTCGGTGCAAATTAAAAATCAGTAAGAGAGTCCTTGTAGGGCCCCTTTAAAGGGACAATGAAGGCAATTTCGGATATTTTTTTGGCGACTGAACTGGGTTCCCGGCACGTCTCAGGCCATGTTGCCAAAATTTCAGCCGAAACCGGCGCTTGTGTGCCGCGCGAATCAATTAAACAGTCGCGGTTAATCGTACCGGGATCGATCGAGGCGACGCCCCGAGCGTTGCGGGAGAAACCAGCAGAAGCGGAGGTCACGTGACCCTGCGGGGCCTGGAAGCGTGACGTCACAAGAGACGCGTCAGCGATTGGTCGAAATGAGAAACGTGCTTTCGGTCACGCTTTGGTTCGTGGTTTTTATGAACACTGTTCTAATTCCACTTGAATAACCATGAAAACTATAAATCGAACCAAAAATGATAACTAAACCGCAAATAAAACACCATAATTCTTTTTCTCTTTGCTACACTGCACGCGAAACGGGCAACGAACAACTATGGGCAAACAAAATATATAAAATAAAGAACACAGCGCTGCTATAACCCACCGCGGTAACCAGTCTCGACGCCCTAAATGCTACCGGTACCGACAATTCACATGTGACGTCACTCCCTACGTCACCTCCGTTTTCGGAGGCCCAAAATTGAGAAACAGATAGTTCAGTTTCGGTTTCTTCAGTTCTTTCGTAGGTACAGAAATACGCCTCACAAATGTCTATAAAAAATTGGGCAGTATGCCAGGTTCCTAAGAAGCCTAAAAACACCATTTAAAAAATTTAATTAAAATCGTCTTCATTGTCCCTTTAAGCACCTGCTGTGGTCTTGGGAAAAAAAAAAAAAAGATTGCTTTCTAAGCCTATCGAGATAATGGAAGCTCTTTTGCGCCGGCCACTGCTGAAAGCAGTGCAAAGCAGCGAGGCTCAACCCACGAGCAGTGAACATAAGGTCTGGAACGTCAATGCCTGTATGCATTTAACAGACTAACCGGTCTGCTCACTTTCAGGCTAAAGGGAAGAATTTTAACTGATTTAAAAGGTTAAAGAGCGCAACAAGGACAATAAAGACACAAGGACGACAGGACGGGCGCTAACTCATAACTGACTTTATTAGAAAAAAACACTCACTTTCTTCTTGTGTACAAAAGTGAGTGTTTTTTCCAATAAAGTCAGTTGTGAGTTAGCGCCCGTCCTGTCGTCTTTGCGTCTTTATTGTCCTTGATTTGTTGCGCTCTTTAACCTTTTAAATCAGTATGAACCAACTCATCCAAACACAAGTTTTAATCCAGAATTTTAACTTTCGTACACAATTGTGGCAGATGCGATCTCGTGCACACTCCCATATGAGAACCCTCTTCCCTTCTTTGCTATGCTGAAGCTCACCTTGTCACCTTGGTGCAAGTATGACACAAGTTTCCGCAGAAATGGCGTTTTTGGTGCCACATAGAGCAGGCTCGAGTCCACGGCGCAGTTTGTTGCAAATGGTGCAGGGCTTCCATTAATGCGTTTTAAAACACAGGAGAAGTGGATGATCCAGTGTCAGGTTTAGGAAAATTCTTCTCACGAATTCACTATACCTGGTGCAGACATCCAGCAATTTTCAGAGGCAATTGCCAAATAAACTTGGTCGATTGTACGACAGGACAACCTCACTCCTAACCAGAAACTGGTCTTCCCAAAAGAACTATGACCCAATAATCTGTGTGGCACTGCTCACAGCTCGATCACTCTACTTGACATGGGCACAAGCTCATCAACATCACTCATTCCAACTCCGCATCTTGTGTTCCGTCACTTTATTACAAGCCGAAAACATCCCGAAAACATATAACCGGAACACAAAACAGCCTTCGTGCGAAGTTTTAAAAAAATGAAATAAAAAAACACACTGCAATTTAATTTGCTCCCTATGAAATGTTGCCTACACTGTACATGTGTACACACAAGATTGATGTCACACAAAAATACTTTTCCCTTCGCTGCGCAACAAGAACTGTGTCTTCCAACTTCTGTGAGCTGAAGTTAAATAAAGGTGGTAGCATATAAATTAGCTGCACCGCAAAATGAACCAGGAAGAAGCGAGCAAGCGTGGCGTCTTTTGGTCAGGCGAAGGAGGGCGGAGTTGCCGACATGGAGGACAGGTTGAAGTTGTCCAGATCCTGATCTGCCTGGTTGTTCTTGAGCTCCTGCAGAGTCTGGACAAACCTCGACCACTCGTCGTTCTTTGGCACGGCCAGTTGCTGCAAACAGGTATGGCGCATATTACAGTTTCAGTCAATTGAGCACTCGATTACCTCATTTCAATGCCTAACAAGTGTCACAATACAAAAAACTACATTTGAGCTCAACTGCTCCATTTACTTCTGATAATCCTAGATGGTTGCCGCTGTATATGTACGGCGGCGATTACAGATCTGAAAGTTCCCGCCTAAATGCGAAACTCTGTGCAAGCCCTGTGGGGCTCCTATCTGTTAAGTCTTTAAAGGGACACTGACAGGGTATTTATGCTTGCCGAGGTTTTTAGTTTTATGCGACATATGAGAGCCCAACCACCCAGAACAGAATTTGCGGCTCGAAATTCGGTTTCTTTCCGCCCGAAAACCGTTGATCGAGAACTGGCCGGTGTGGGTCGCGCTCACTCTTTTCCGTGGTCACGGGCCGTTTTCTAAGGTTACGACGCGACCACCAAATTTAATCAAAGTCGTGGGTCATTGAAGGCACACAGTCAATACTAAAAATAGAAAAAAATATGGAACCCATTTTTTGTGGCTTTCAAAGAGCTGCAAATACATTGATTGAAGCAAAAAAAAAGGTTGCACAGACAACTGGAAGCATTCTGTGCATTCACTGCATAATTCTCAACATGGCGTCGTTTCATGTTTCGTGGGACTCGCGGGTGGCAGCAGACGACGGGCGTGGAACCTCTACTTCAGAGCTGCTGTTCATGGTGCCGGTGAATTCTGTCTTCCTTCTAAAGAGAAATTTTGGACCGATCAAAAGAATTGATATTTATCCCGTACAACACGCCCGATTAGCAAGCCGATTGCACAAAGACGTCGCCAAGCCGTCGTCCCTTCTCGCAGCTGAAGACATCACTCGCTCAAACATCAAGCACGAAGTGCGTACGGCGAGTTGAATACGCATGCGTATGGTTTCTTTACTCGGTGCGAATGTGGCCAATGCGTGGTGCTGCCCGGCTTCAAGCCAGGAGTACATGTACTGGAGGGAAATCGGCAGCTAACTCTCCGACATATGGTTGACCGGATGCATTACTACGAACGAAAGAGTTCCTTCAGTAGCTCAGTGGAAAGACGCCCGCCTCACACGTAGCAAGCACGGGTTCAATCCCTAATGTGGGCATACAATATTTTTTTTTTTTTTTCAAAACATATTGCGATGTTTACATTTCTTTTTTTTTTTTTACAATTATCACTGAAAAAACAAAGAAAACTGTAGTGGACGATACGTCGCTGAACTAAATGGTATGGGATTCCATTTCTGACACCTCTGCCGCACAATGCCTCTTTCAGATGTGAGGCAGCTCTTCACGCAACATCTTGGGAGTATTTTTTTCGGAGCCGATCAAAGGAATTCCCCACGGGCACTCACTACTAATTGCCAACACTTAAATGTACAAAACACCTCATCTTAAAGTACAGAACAGCGAGCGGAACAAACATAACTTCAAAGTAATTGCACAGCAAACAAATCTCGAACAAATTTCGTTTGCTGCACCCGGAAAAAAAAAAAAAAAAAAAAAAATCACACGGTCGGGTGTAGCCACGTGACTTCCGCCACTCACTCTCTCCTCCACATCTCTGTGCGGTACGTGGGTTTCGGTTTCAGTTTCGTGCAGTTGTGTTTTTTGGCTTTAGTAAAAAAATATGTGACTCTGTAGGAAAATATTAATTGGTTAGTATTCCGACACCATAATGAATCACCTGGCAAAACATGAAAACAAATTTTGGGGGGGTGTTAGTGTCCCTTTAAGGAACTATTTGCCCTTTTTTGTTTGGTAACAAACTTAGTGGCACCATTTATTGGGAAACCTCGGCACACTTCCGGTTCACGTATATCTCCTCATTTTTTACCGATCCTTTATCATAAGAGTAAATTAACTCTGACAGTGCTATAAGCGGCCATTTCCAGAAGACGGCGTGTTTATTTGATTTTGCAAATACTGCAAAACCCGCCGTCTAGTACAGGGCCGGAAGTGGTTGGGGGCTATTTGCACACTGGCACCACCACATTTCAACTTGCCCAAGAAAGAGCTAATAGTTATATCCACTACATTGCTGAGGCTATTCATAGTTCTGAAATTAGACGCTACATGCACATGATACAGGCTAGATGGTTGCTTCACTCGTAGACTGCCCTGGCTCTTCGAGTTCAGAATTCTTAACACTTCTCGGAACACACCCTTTCACAAATTCAGTGCCATCTAGTGGCTGAAATATCCGTCCAAATTGTTCCATGCTTATGGCAGATAAAATCTGGCACCTATTCATCAACGGTAGACATACAGTAATTTCTCTATTTGCTTCAGTTTCAATGGTGTCAAGAAACTACAACCCTGCACAAGGTGCTTATAGTTGAGTAAACCTCTAGATAAAATGAACATTTCATTGTCAAGAGCTATCTGGGGCGCGCCAAAGCCAAAAATTCCAAGGACTGACATGACAGCCTGAGATGCGTAGCGCATACAAGCCTATAAGTCTCGTCACAGTGACATAGAACAAGAGTAAAGCGACCTAACATCTAGATGCTCGAGCTCCACATCGGTTTCAGTCTTCATAATTTTCCTTCACCAGCCATCAAAAGGCCGCCATTCGCATGTACAGACGATACACACTTAGGTGATGATAGCTATTGAGAGGGCCCGAATGAATTTCGCAAAAAGGGTCTATTGAATTCAGAGAATGAGAGCTCCTCATTCAACAGAGTCTTGAGACCGCCAAAATGAAACCGAATGGAAGGAAGGAGGCATCTTTCCACCGTCAATATTTTCATTCTATGATTCTCAATCTGGACTACATCAAACCAGTTTATAACAAACCGCAGGAAACAATACGATCAGTTCAATATAGCAAGTAGTTCAATATAGCAGAAATCATTTACAACGAACTTCCACGATGCGTTCGTTGTAAGGCGAGCGCTTCTCTTTTTTTCTCATCTCTTCACTTCCACCTTGTAACAACGCGCTAAAAGGTTTTCTTCTTTTTTTTTTTTTTAGCTTATCTCCCCTCTGAATCGATTCTCTTCGTGGGCAAATGCTTTATAATAAAGTGTGTTTTTTTTCTGTGCATGCATGCAATGTATTTTTTAGCTTTCTCCCCCCTTCTGAATCCCTTCTCTTCGCTACATTTTGTTTGCAATTTGAGCTTTTGGCATTTTTTTCTTTCCTATTTCTTTTTTGGGGGAAGGGACAGGCTAGAAGACGATTGCTTGCACATCTTGGAAGCCTGACTGGGGGAAAAAAGGTTTTACATGGCCAATATGTTGTTGGTTGTAAAAAGTACTTTTACAGCGGAGCTGTAAGGGCTAGGTTCCCCAGGATCGTGTCCATGTATATTGGCACAAACCTACCTGGACAGCTACTGCCATCTATAAGCGACGGTGGCACGCACACAACCAGTATGGTTTCCGCCGTCGCTCGTAGATGGCGGCAACCTTTCCAGCTATAATAGAAGAATGGTAGTTGGGTGCGTTGGTGGGAATTCATCGTAGGAAACAGTGCGAAAAACAGACGACGACGAAGAAGCACACAGTGTATCGAGTACAGCTCTGCTGGTCTTCCTTCTTCACGAGAGTGGAAAGGCTGAAAAATTTTTTTACATGCCTTTTTATTTAAATTTTCCGCGGGTTTGATATCGAGAATATTTCACTGTATGTGGGTTCGTTCTAAATGGGTTTCACTGTACCTGCAAGCACTGCTTGATCAAAAATTTTACTTAATTATTTAGCTAATTAGTATAGTCTTTGCACTCCCTGACGTCCTCCGTGGCTGGCAGTTTGTTCTCAAAGTTGTTTTTTTTCTCAACCACCCTATCTTTAATGATTTATCTAAAGCCTTCATTGAAACATATGGGCAGGTCAGAAGTGTTCCGGGGCAGATGACACCAGTGTGCCGGTGTGTTAAGAGGTTACCAGAAATCACAACAGACTTGGTACAGTCAAATGCAAATGTGGGAACCAGTCTTTACTGGCTCAGTCAGCTGAACCACTGGTTACTTTGTGTCTGTGCCTGAAGAGTGTCATGGTTTGAGAAACTCAACTTGAGCTTGACAGCCCCTTTACTATTCCTCATGCATAAGGGCGGGCATTTAATGTTGGCTCGGAGACTTTAATCATAAAGTCACTCCATTATCTTTTAGCCATAGCTTCATTTACAAATAGTATATTCATGCAGAAACATATTTTTGATAGAAAAAAAAAATATTGCGTGAAATAAAATTTATTGTTATGCCGAGAAATAGTAGCACGACGTGGGAAGATACAGATATTAAAAGCTCACCACTGAAAATAACTTTTTTTATGCTTTGCCTTATGGAATAGTACTTGTGCTCAATGCACTTGGTATGCCATGTATTGTGAATTACTTCAATGATGATTTGAAGCTTGTCCAGATTGATCCATATTGAGCAGAAGCAATGCTAAGCTAGAAAGAACTTGGTCCTTGGCTTCTATTTCTCCTTTTAAGATAATTTTTCGAAATATATCTGCTGGATGCCGTCAGAGCATTATAGGGCCAAAGAGATGCCATGTTGTCAGGCTGTTGCAGCCTCAGATTACCTATAATTTGTGCAACAAACACACAAGGGTTTTTTTTTAAATGTTTTGCTACAGTTCCTGTAAATAAGCAGGTTCAAGAAAAAAATATTTTTGACAAGCCAACTACAACACGTCCAACATTCACACACGGAAACTTGCACAGATAAAAACTGCTTTGGATCTTCGTTAATAGACTACTTCCATGAAGCCCTGCATGCAACACGGCACGCGTTGCACTCTGGGAACTAGTTGGCCAGGGAGGAGAGTGGCATGGTTTCGGTTTCGATCAACACGTCGACTAGAGGTCACACATAGAGCGTAGACTATTAACAACCGTTATCTCATGCTTTCTGGTCCCGAGAGCGTCATTTGTGATCTCTAAACTTACCTAAATGGCCAGACCACGAAGCTTTAGCACAAGCCTGAGACGTATAGCTTGTCTTAATGCATGCTTGTTGTATTTTTGTACCTGAGCCTTTCTGTTAGCGTTTCGAGGTATGTGGACGAGCCAGTGCTGGGAATTTCGGCGCTGCGAAGCTCGGAGATCTTGCTTGGGTGCGAATCAGCAAGCTGTAGCAACCAATAAGTATGCATACATCTGGCTCGAGCCTTTACATTAGTATTGTTGATCAGGAAGTTTGTTTCGTGCGTCCATAGACAAAATATAACTTTTTGCGATTACCGTTTTTCTTAATACGCCTGAGTACGCAAGTTAAAACTCGGAGGCGCCATTGAAAAGCTCCATTTGAACACACTTCTCATCTCTTATTTGTACTGCCCCGCAGCACTGCACGAAGTGAAGTTTCCACCCGCTTGCATTCCACTAATATTCAACATCGCATGTGCACATAAGTTACCCTGCAATCATACAGGCACATACGCACATACAAACCGTTTTAAGAAAGCAAAAGTCGAGCACTTGCATGTAGAATGTCGCACCGTTCGCCGGAAGTGCGCCGGACGGGCATGAACCCTTATGCGGTGCGCCAAACGAACTAAATTATTCAAAGCGCATTTGACAGTTGCTAATGGCTATAGTATTTGTTATGTGTTTGCTTTCTTCCTGACTGAGTATGCCGAGATAATTTCAGACACACCGTTCAGGCACACATCTTGGGCGACAGGGAAAGCTCGTCCAAAAAGGCTTACCGAGGAGTAGGGGACGATTGTTAGGGCCTCCGTCGTAGCAAGCCAATCTCAGTGTTTGTGAAAACTTAATCTCCTATCAGCATAAAATTTGAGTGTGAGATATGTGATGGCACGAGGAAGACATCACAGTAACTTTTGTGCAGTAGTGAGGTCGACTTTATTGAATTTCCTTAAAAGTTCATGCGCCAACGCTGGGCTCAACTTTGATAATCCTGTGAAGATGCGGCTTGCTTTTCGCCCAATGAAGTAACAAGAAGCGGACGTTTGGCAAACAAAATATGTGTAGGGCTCAAGGTGACCAAATTTCAGTTGTAGTTCACTGGTACTAGATGGGATTACTGATATTGAGCTCAAAGATGCACTCATGGGGTGAGGTGACTAAGCCACGTCTCACTACGTTTGCATATGCACGCACAATATCCGGTGTTTCGGGAACCAAGGAAAGTGCCCTGGTCTTCGTTTTCTATCGCTCGAGAATGAGTGTATTGTACATTCGCAAAAAGTCAGATAATCGAAAACGCAATCAGCGCGTTCGGTTGCGGCGTGATAGCATGAGATGAACCTGCTCACTCGAAACCGAAACTGAGTGGCCAACTAGTTCCCAGAGTGCGCTGCGTGATATTTCGCAGCAATGGGGCGCGTCGGCTTTGGAAGAAGTCTATTCTCTCGTGAATATGCAGAACTTACAGTGCCGGTTTCAACCTACAGCAATACCGGTGGCCGGCAAGTCACAGCCAACCTCAAAATCACAAAAAACACGGTCCCGTACGGAGGTAAATATCAGTACGTCATAACATGTAATTCCAGAAATACTGTACTGAAGAGTGATGCTTCATTCAACGAACCTCCAGAGCTCCTCACGCAAGTTATCCAAACAGACATTTCTGTGAATTATCCAAGCACCATGGAGAATGCTGGGAACATAGGTACAGTGCTAATCACACTTGTCTATAACGCGCGAGCGTGCGGCTTTCTCCGGGGAGCGCTAGACTGATGGCATTCGCAGAAACTAAGCTAGTCACGTGGTGCAACATGGAACGGCCCGCTTGAGGGGTGTACTGCCCACTCTAACAGCTGGCGGCCAACGCGGAAGGCTGCTTGCATGCTTTTTACAAACATCATTGCTCGAACAATAAACAAACTAAAGCATTAAGGCGTATCAACGATGTTGTCATCAAAAAACAAAAAAATATATCATAAGGCACTTTACTTTTATCGCTTGTCAAGCTGATAGGGTGGGCGGACACCCCTCAACGGGCCGTTCCACATTGCGCCACGTGAATAGCTTAGTTTCCGCAAATGGCACCAGCCTAGCGCTCCTCGGAGAAAGCCGCACGCTCGCGCGTTATAGACAAGTGTGATTAGCACTGTACATGTGCTGCACAAGCTTGCCTCATCCGTACAAAATATTGAAGCAAATGACCAAAATCAGGCATTGACAAATGCACGTGCTAAGTGTCATTTGCTTTATGTTTTTGCTTTAGAACAGTCATTGGTGCAGACACCATGTGGAGCGTGCTTCACTGCACTCGTGGCATGCTCCTTGGAGCATGGTGTAATTTGTCAAAAGGTTTATCAGGAACAGTGCAGAGGGAAGGAACCAGTCCAACAGTTCCAGAAAACACCCACCTCTCCAACATCGTAAACCCACACCTTTCCAGAGTCGTCACCCACTGCTACCTGGTGGCCGGACGGCGTCCAGATGACCCGGTTCAGAGCAGGCCCACCGTCCACAACCTCACTCACTGTCGGAAGCTGGGAAAAAAAAAAAATTTGTGAATGGTGTGCGCTCAGGAAAGACACTTTCTTTGAACGTCATAAAACTGCTCTAGCACTGTAGAGTAGGCTAACGTAAAACAGCACCGCAGGACCAACCTTTCGGCTGCTTTTTTTTGCTCACTACCCTAAACTCGAAATTGCCACGGTCAAATCATGACATCGGCACTGTCACTGGGTGAGGCAGCTAATAATTTGGAATTCATTGCATCTACACATAGGTTATTATATACTAGCAGTACTCTTATTTGATAAAACAATGGTTGTACACCATTAAATGGGGCGTAGGTATTTTGCTGTTCACAAAACTATACTTTTCTAAAATTAACGACATTGCAAAGGCTGCATCATCCTGCAAAGAGGTTGGTGTGAAGCTCAACGGACAGGTAACAAATTTCTCTAATAACTAAATGCGCAAATCTTGTACTTTTCAACACGAACAGAATTATATACAGCCCTCATAACATATGGGAATCTTGTATCAGTTGTCAATTTCTGGATAACAGGTTCCCCCAGCTTCAAAAGCACTAATTAAGGACCCTGCAACATTCATTCTATATTTCTGGGGCCGTCTTATGTCAATCGCAGATTTTCCCTTCCCCCCCGTGGGTCGAAGCAAGCAACAAGCCATCTGGTCAAGACGACGTCCGACGACACATTACCTCTGTGTCATTGTTGAGGTTCCAAAGGTCCAAGCGACCCGTGCCATCCACACAGGCAAACAGAGCTGGGTGGACAGGAGACCACCTGACGTCGTGCACATAGTCTCCATTGTCCTCAAAGGAGTAGATGGGCTTGGACTCCTGGTGGGGACGAAAGGAATGTGGCGCCAGAATTAAAGTTTTCGTCTAACTACGTCCTTTTTTCAGGGCTCGAACTAGATTGCATGCTTTACGAGTTGTAGGAAAAAGAAAGTTTTCTACAGACATATGAACAGAATCTAGAGACCATGGAGGTAGGAAGCTTCTGGAGGCAACATGACACCACCAGAGGTGAAGCCAGAAGTGTGGAGATGTTGCCTCCAGAAGCTTCCTCTACCTCCATGCTAGAGACTTGAGACCCACATCAGCAGGAGGTCACGGTCGTGGCACCGCTATGTCACGTGATGTCACGTCGCATGACAGTTGTGCTGCCGGGTTGGGCAGACTCAGGAGCGTAGCCCACACACCTTGAGGCTCCAAAGCTTGACGGTCCAGTCGAAGGAGGAGGTGAGGAACAGGTGGGAGAAGTCCACCTGGCCCTGACAGCTGTGCGAGTGGATCCCTGTCACGGGGCCCTGGTGACCCTCAAAGCCATCCATGATGCCGGCCTTGTTCCCGTGCCGGCAGGCTGCGAAGTCAGTGCACGAGAGGCTCTAGCCGTTTCTTGCTTGGTTTCGTTAACAGGGGACAAGCTCGTGTGTGCCATCGGTCTTGTCGCCGAAATGTTGTTAAAAAACAGCCGAAATAAAAGAAATGAAACTGACATTCTAAGCTAATCCCGCTAGCCGGATGCTTGCTTTGTGGCGTGTTTAAAGGATCTTCCACTACCTCTGTCCCAAGAGAAATGATGATGCTCGCGTGAAAACTAGAAAAATGGAGTGAAAAGGAGGACGGAAAGAGGGGATTGACACACTTTTTGAAGGAGCTAGAAGCTTTTCTTTTATTGGATGCAATTTTTATTATGGTCTTTATCTTGAGACGTTGAACTAAACTTCCCCAGAAGAGTTTTGTAAACTTGTCTAGGAAGTTTTGCTTTCTAAACGAAGTAAAATCTAGGCTCGCTTCAGGACAAGGTAATCGTGTTCAAGGTAATCGTGTTCAAAGTAACGACAATTTCATCCAAATATTAAAATCAATATTTTTTCCCTTACTTTTTTTAAGAGGAGAAGCAAGTTGGGGTGGCAGATACATTTGTACAAAGAAATCTTTACTGGCACAAGATAACAGAACTGAGGAAGCAAAATGAAGTATAGATAAAAAAACGTTACCGGAGGAAGGTTGACCCAGAAGAATTTAGCTCAGTTCAGCTTTTATCGATCGTTATCAGGGCACCCTCGTTTACTGCGAAAGTTCGGACAAATAACCAGGAGACGTGTAGTACCACAAACCAGACCCTAAAAATGAAAAGGCTGGAAAATCTGCATTTCAGATACTAAACCTACTTTGGTACATAGCAATGCGAATTCGAAATAAAAACATCTGTGCACACACACACACACACACACACAAAAAAAAAAATCTACAGGCTTGATTATGCTGACAAAGACCGGGGAGCACAGAACATGCCCCGCCCAAAGCACTCTCCGCGTGTCGTTGGTGCAGAACTTTTGTTTTTTTTATTTAATTTTTTTGTTATTTTTTCTCAATTTTTATGTATTTTCATTTTATTCTCATAATTTTCTTTATTTCTATTTCTTGATATATTTCATAATTTTTATTTATTTTCATTTGTTTGTTTATTATTTACTTACTTTATTTTTATCCAAACCCTGTCGCTGTAGCCGGCACTTTTGCATTCAAATATCAAAATCTTGTCCCATACATGTTAGCTGCCCCAGTTACTCGGCAGCTATAGTATCCGACTGCCACCGCACCGACCTAGGTCCGAGCTTTGCCAAGGCCCCAAACTTTATATACAGTCTTTACATAAAATCTTAAGTCTGTAAGGCTCTCAAGATGTCACTCGTTCATGCCGCTCATTTGTGAGGATTTTTTCATTGAAAACGCCGCATAAAACAAATTTTGCATTACAAAACACCTTTCCGTTTTCTGAAGAACCTAACAGCTCCTTTGTTTGGCCGATATATCCATTCCAGGTTTAAACAACTGCTGCCCATACCTGTGTATATGGCACCTTCCTCGCTGCCCACGATGAAGTTGTTGTAGTCGCCCGTGGGAAAAGAGAGCGACGTCACTGCTATGGCACGCGACTGCTTCTGCTGCGTTAACTCCATGCTGTCCTAGAAAAGTGTAAAGCCAAAATGCCCGGCACTCGTACAACGACTTAGGCTCACTCTGGCGCTTGTATGAGTAGAAAAGACGTAGCATGGATACGACACTATGTTTTTTAGAATAGACCAGTCGAGTTCAGCAAGTGCAACGAATACATACAATAACACATTGACTGGAAGCCACTATTCATGGGTTGGAATCTTTAAGCGAGTCCTTCTGTAGTTACTGATATTCAGGAATAATTTTTATGTACCTGGGAGTGTACAGAGTGGAGTGTGGACACCCTTGACGGTGCCAAGGCACCGCTCCTATGGCAGGAGCTCGTATTTTCTTCTTCGGAAGAGTATGTGAATACGGTTCTTAAATGAGCTGCAACTCCGCGCATTACCTAATCTTTTTTTTTTTTTTTTTTTTTTTCAATTTTTTCGCCATGGGTTTTTGCATACAACAAATAAAATGGAACAAAAAGCGTGCACAAAAGTAGCCAAACCAAGCAGACGATTGCTTCCTCAACAGGCTCACGCAACGAAGCACCTTGCATCCTCGAAACGGAGCGACAGTGGCAGTCTCTGAAAGATGGTATGTCGCTTGCAGATGTCGATTCTGCGGCCCGCACCTATTGGCGCCCGCCATGCCAATACCAAAGTCCGACTCGACTCATCAAAGCTACGCACGAGGCACGAGGCAGACGGAGTCCCCTCAGCGAACCGTGGAAAATTTCCCTTAAACCTAGCTCCGAGGGACAAAAGAAAATGTGACCTAAACGTGCGTAAAATAAGAGATTCAGTATTTAAAAAATATTTATCATAATTTTAGATTAAACTTGTCGCTTGGAGCTAGGTCTTCGCCCTAATGTGTCAATGAAGTTCCCCTGGTAACAGCCTCACCTGGGGTGCAGAGAGCATGTCCAAGCTCCAGGAACAGAACTTGCCATCCGTGGAAATGCTCACCAGGTTGTGGGCATTTTGGGTGCCCACCACTTGCACGCAGTACACGGGGTGCTGCAACACGCATTTAACCTTCCTTATGACGCAGGTATGTCCCATCATGGTCACTATCAACTGCTCTGTCAGACAGCGGGTTATCCTGGGTGTATATCTCGTAATCCCACCTCAAGCAACATCATTTTTCCTCGTTTTATCAAGACTGAGCAATTGAGCAATATCCCCTCCCCCCACCCCCCCCCCCCCCCCCTCCCAAGAGAAGCTTTTTCCAATTCCATTTAACTTTAATTTAAGAAAAAATGAAGAGTTTTAAGTTAAATGCCAGTGTTGTATCAACTAAATTGTAGAAAGAAATCTCTTCCTTGAGGGCTAAGCAAACGACAGATATGCAAGTCGCAAATCATTTTAATGTGCCATTGCTTCAGTGGACTACAAATTAGTTCTTTGACCTTGGGTGTCGTAATGGACCGAGGCTTTGTCATTTTGCAAAACATTCCTCACCACCTGATGATGATGCATTTTTCGCAAAATGACAAAGCCTCGGTACACAGAAAAGTAACCATTTTTGTTCAAGACTCCTCTTCAGATATAAGAGTATCCTACAAAATTTAAAACTCATTTACCACCTAGATGCATCTTTATAAAAATCTTATTATAAAACACTCTGAAGCAAAAGCCCGCCATGACAGACGACCAACAGGTTGCGAATATGCATTCACGCGACCCAAGCGGAAACAAGAGACACTCCTATCTTCAATACAAATGACTGGTGCTTTGTGGCAACGAGGCCATCTTGGGGCACCCACCGTGTGTGCGGCTGCGGACAGGGGACTCCTCTGCACGGGCGTCCTTCGGTTGTTCCTGTTGTCCCAGAGCGCAATTTGGCCAGAGTAGGTGCCCCCGATTATCAGGTTGGGGTGGAACTTGGCAAAGCAGGCAGACACCACCGACGACTGAAACAGCACCAGAAGAGTTTTCAAGAGATATGGTAAACTGGGAAACTAGGTCAGGGTGCTTAGCAAATGATCATTTTGAAATTCCCCGACTTTTCCAGGTTTCCCCTGACAACTCCAGGTGAAATTCCCTGACCACTGTACAGGCGGTTAAATATATAAGACCATTACAACACAAGGCATTGAGCACCGTGAGGATAATTTTGCACGGGCATAATCCAACTTGAATATTCCAAAATATTTGGGTTCGTCCAGTTCAGACTAAACGAGCATTTTCTTGCCGCCGACATCGTCAGTGAAGAGGCCACTTCCGGAAACACAATGAAAACATGACGCTCAACCATGCACGTCAATAACCGAATGGTAGCATGGCCGCCAGATGCACACTTTCGGATACTTTTGGATTGGATTGAGGTCTGCGGCTTTTCGATTTGTTACTAAATCTAGTAGCTCTAACTGGATCTAGCCTAGTGTCGTGCCCTCAATCCAATCCAAGGCTTGGACTGGATTTGTCGGCTGTTCCCTTTGCATTGGGTAGCACACACTACATTGGGTGAGCAGAGCCCGTGCTCCACTCTAAGCATAATTTATTGCCTATTTTTCTGCCCCCTAGTCCTCAAATCTTTGCTCAGGGCACTCAATGGCATTTACGGCTCATTTTCCCTGACTGGGCTCGCTTTTTGACAATATTTCTGACAATTCCCTGATTTTTCCTGGTAATTAATATTTCCCTGAAAATTTCCGGTCTTCACGGTTTTCCCGGTCGCTAGACACCCTGTAGGTATGTGTGCCAACAGCAGGACTGAGCCAAAAGAAGCACTAAAGAAATATTTTTTCTGCCTTCTATTTTTTTTTTTTTATATATACAACTCTATAGAAAAATATTACTAATGTTCTCTTTTGCAGCCCACTCTGTAAACCATGAGATCATTTTTTTTTTTTTCATAGCTTATAATTTTTGATTATATTAAGAGTGAAAAAAAGAAAGGTTAGACCTACCCGAAACACAAGGTTTTCGGGCAAGTCTAGTCGAATTATCAGGCGCCAGAGAAAACTAGTATTGGACGTTAGGTTTTCATTTCAAACTCGTCATCGCACGTGTTTCACCGACTGGAAGGCACAATTAACTAACCCGACATTTCCAAGCGCATTGACCATCCCATTAAAGGGAAGCTGAAGCGGTTTTGTATTTGAGGAAACACACCTAAATCATCTTCATTTCACCTCCAGGAACTCGAAAATCGAAATTATTTTGTAATTGGGTGCTATTAGGCTGCAGAAAATCCTTTCAAAGTACCGCTGAAGGCCCTCCTCCTTGAAGCGTGACGTCACAAAAGGAGTTTTCAGAATCTCTGCTCTCGCACATCTTCAGCACGTATCAAAGCTATGCACACGCACTCAGCTATTTTTAAAAAGGGCAGAAAAAGACGCCACAACTGGGGCAAGTGCGGGGAATATACCTGGCAAGTTTGCAATTGCTCGCGAGGCCCTTGAGTGACATGCACTTGGCGGCCGAAAGATTTTCTTATGACGCCACAACTGGTCGGAGGTTCTTCTAGTTGTCTCCCGTTTAATTACATCTTTGGGGAAAACAAACGTGATATTCAGATTCACGGGATAAAACTACGCTAGAATTAACCTCCATCTAATTTTTTCAAAGGAGAGTTTCAGCTTCCTTTTAAAGGGATACTGAACTCAATCTTACAATACACCACTCACGTTCAGAAATAAGTGAACCCTTTCAAACGCCGCTCATCATTTATCGTAGAAAATATTTTCTTCACAAACTTCATTCGTGAAGAAAAGTTTTAACCAATTTTCTTCACAAACTTTGGTTGCCAGACATAGAACATAGAATTCTGCTAAATTGTTAAAATGACTTGACATACAATATATCATTGAAAAAAGCAAGTCTTCTAAATCTTCTAGATGTACACTCTTGTGTACATAAAATCTGAAAGGGTTAACCATGATTGGCTCTACCTGCTAATGACAATCGCACCTTGTATTCTGATCAGATGTCTATATTTTGCGTTCCAAAGGACCGACTCTAGCGAGCGCTCGAAGATCAGCGATCGGAGAGCGCGATGCATCTTGGGCGACGCTACGCCAACTGGCCCAGCATGGGCAACGCTCCTTGGGGGCTGGCGTGGTTTTGAGCTCCGCCACTTGGTGTCGCTGGTGCGTTACAACCCAGCCATTTTAGTTGCCCCTCCCTGCTCCACAAGGGATTTAAATAAGCCGGAAAAGAAAAAATATCCGGTTCGACGGGGCTTGTGCGCACGCAGCTCGCCGCCGTACTTCTACGGAGCGGCGCTGCATTTAACTTCAGGAAATGGAATAAACCGACACAACGACATTCGGTTCATTCCATTTAAATAATGTCTCAGTGTCTTTTCAAGCAAAATATTGGCGTCTCTGGTGTGGCCAGAACGTTGTTGACATTTAGGCAATAATATAGGTGCTAGAATTTTATTGCAGCATCCCTTTAAAGTTCAGCCTCCCTTCTCCAGGACTAACAAATTTCAAAACTCTCTGCTTTCCCTTGCCATTGCCAACTGGAACTCGCTGCTCATGCACCTTGTCCATAAAACTGATAAAAAAATTAACATTTGTGACATTTAAATTACTTTTGTAAAGTGTGAGTCTTTTTTAAAAGGAGCTGTGCAACGATTTTGACGCTGAAAGAATTGGCATCTTCTATTTTTGAAATTGTTCACCTTGTCACAAAGGACAGAAAAAGAATATTCCCCGACCTGCAGCCGCGAGCGGCGGCCGTGAGAAACACGCGGCATTGCGTCAATGGGGGGGTCTTGTAGAAAGATGGCAAATTGTGCAAATACCTGCTCGATAAAAGGTAAGTTTTCTACAAATCTTGTCGTTCCAACATAAATATAAATGCGTCGAAAACCTGGTATCATTGACAAAATTTTTATTATACGGAGTTTTAGTGGCACCGTCTATCCTAGGTACACAAAACCGTCAGCTCTATCTGCTACCGCGAACAGCCGCCAGAAGCCAGAGGCGGAGGGGGACAGGGCCAGACGGGTATGATCGGACCCGAATGAGACTTTCCACCTTTTACCATATTGTTCATGCTGCGCCCGCCAGCAGGTGGTCTCACGGTCGTGAGAGGATGAGCTCTCTCTGCTCATGGATGGCTCTATAGAGAGACCTTCACTGGAACCCCGCGCCAACCCCATTGACGTCACAGCGCACGTGACTCGGAAGATGGTGAAGGAGTTGACAGGTGCCGAAAACCTCAATCTTTGTTAATTTTTAAAATAAAAACTATGACATGCAGGCAAAAGCGGTTTTTCCTTCTCTACTTCAGAAAGGTTGAGACACCAACTCCCAAATTATTTAAGCAAAGCACAGAAACTGTTGCACAGATCCTTCAAATAAATTTTTGCTTTCCTGAAAAAAGCAAAAATAAACAGTTGACAATCTAAAACCCAGTTCCCAAAAAATAAATGTTTTTGTTTTAGTATTAGTTTAAGCCAACAATGCACAACCCTAGCAGAGACAACCGCTGCATCATGAATTGAATGCCAAGAACAGTCAAGAAAGCTTACCTGACAATGGAAGATGTATTCTGGTGTAGATTTCTTAAATTTCATGTTCCAAACCAGGCACACACCATCCGGATCATTAGGAGAGTCGTCATTATTTCCGTACGAAGCCACCAGGAGCTCTGGAAACTGTTTGCAGAGTGTGGCTTGTCATCGATGTACTTCCATTCTAGAGACCCGGACAAGAGCCAGAGACAAACTCTAACCTGTGAAGACCAGTCGAAGCTCGTGACCATCCTGTTTTTGGACCATCGGTCATCGAAGAACACCCTGTTGAGTGAAAGCTTGATCCCACTCTTGTCGTCACTGAAAGGAGCAAAAGAAAGATCCACTCCTTTGGTTGCGAGTTTTTACTGAGAGACAACACTGCTGAACATTCACATTCCAGGTGGTAGAGCTGGCATCCATCAAATACAGATGACTATTCCTTCCAAGGAAGACCAAATATACTTCACTCTAGTTGCAAGACCCTCCCTTGAGCTCACTATGTATATACAAAATTCATTTGCAAATCTGAACCCCGCTCCTGCAAGACTCGAGACATCTCCTCGTAATTGTGCTTTTGCTCATCACAAAAAGCACCTTTTCCAAGACAGGTGTGGGAGAGACCCGTTTCACAATACACAATCACTAGCTAACTTGAAAGTGTACATGCTTTGTACAAATGCTGAAAAGACAAACTTCGAATGTCTGTCCTTTCTAATCCTAAAGCTGAACCAAATGAAAACCGCGAAATTGAATATCTTTGCAAAGTCCTGTTTTTGTGCAGTGTACAACTGCACAACAGAAAAGAGGACTCAATAAAGTGACAGCTGCCTTCCCTCCTCTCCCCCCAGAAATAAAACGGACCTGTCTTGGTCTTCTGTGTTGCCCGTGTAGTCCACACAAATGTCTGAGCTTTCGCAGAGGGCCCTTTCCACGATCCTCGAAGACCGATCCATGAACGTGCGGAAATCTTCGTTTAGCAAGATTTGCTGCCTCTCTTCTTCACTGAGTTCCCTGGGAGCTGGAAGAAACATTGCTGGGTTTATGGGCAGACCAACTTGGCATCGAGCCACACAGGAAATAGGTGCATGATTTTGTCTAATAACCAGACACAGGTGCCTCCAAGTTCAGCACATGCAGCGAGATGAGTACACGGGTATCTACATGCATCCCGAAAACTAGAGTTTGTACATAAGAACATTCTCACTGAGATCTGGACAAATCATTCGCATCATAACGAAATTGCACAATGAATGTCGAAATTATGAACAGGTTAATTTAATGTGGCCCAAAAACCCACTTTACTCCAATTGTCGAGTTTGGTCCGGGCTTTCTTCGAGCTCTGTTAGGCTCATATCCAGGATGCGCCAAGATCTCCTTGGACTGAACGGGGACCATTCTAAAACTTTACAGTTTCGCTACAAGTTTGAATCGAGATTCCTTTCCTATTGTGCCGAAACCATGCCGAAACCGAAACATTTCATGCCGAGCCAATTCTGCGCAATCTGAGGACCGGCTACGGTGCCTGAAAAGAGTCTTCGTATGGTGTGTTTACCGTCCTATCCCGCCCATGCGCCGGAAGGGGTCCCAAAATGGCAACAAATTGCATCAGAGGAGCTAGGGTGTCACCTTTGGGCTCCTTGGCCTCCTGCGCTCCGGGTGTCCTGGCGGGGTCCGGCCCCTCCCCAGGGGTCTGTGCGGGCTTGACCATCTCGACGTGGGGCAGTCCGGCCACCTTGTGCGGAAAGAGCATCGCCTGGGCCGCCTTGGCATCCGGGTGCGCCCCGCCAGGGGCCCCTTCCCCGTCCTCTTCCGCTAGGACGTCGCCAAAAGCCAGCACTGCCCCGTGAATCAGTAAGGCTCACGCCCCGTCCACCACACAAAGCATGAAGGGCACACCAGCCACATTCACGGCGGGCCCACCCCACTCCCGGAAAAGGGAGACGGCATTAAGCCAAGCCACAACCTTCAACGGGCGCTTTTTGTACAGCCCTTCACCCTTTTTTGAGTACCTGCCTGTTCCAAAAAACAATTCGTTCCATACTCTTTTATAGAATATGAAGCCTAGGTCCCATTCCTTGAACTCTACAAGTAGAGGGATAACAAAAAGTTGTGGGAATTGCAGTCGCAAAAAAGGCCAGATTGGGTGTTGCTGTCCCTGTCCCAGAAAGGGGGGAGGGTACAATATTTTGCTCAAGTACACACTTTTTGATATACTATTGCTTGAAAACAAGCCTCAGGAATGACTTGATTGCTTTGGCCACCGACTAGTAACCAGAGTTGGTTGAGGCGAGACACATTTTAAAAGGGCGGGTAATGGGGCCCCGTATATCTGGCCTAAAGCTCCACTCAGTGCACACTGGTGCATCAGGTGCAGCCGAGACATTTTCAACCTTAGTCCTCTTAGGAACGAGCCCAGCTGTGCAGCCTTCACAATTCGGCGAATGGGGTGAGCCCTTATCATTTTTACAAGAAAAGCACACGCGAGAAAAATCTATCAAATCTCACTGCACAGAGTAGTAAAAAAAATAAAGGTTGGTGGGAATACATAGGCACATTTGGCATTTTTTTACAATCCCTTGCGTTGGCGTTGTTGGAGGGGCAACTAAAGTGCTCTACCCAACTTCACCACACTCAAACAGTGCAATGCAAAATGCAGCAAGCTCACTTTATGCTCATAGGGATCATCCACTGCAAACCAAAAGTTGTGGAGTGAAGGTCCAGACCAAGTAAAATATAAACTTTTTCATTGAGCATTCGAAACAAATAGCTGCACCTTAAAGGGACACCGACAGGGTATTTATGCTCGCCGAGGTTTTTTAGTTGTACATGACATATGAAAGCCCAACTTCCTAGAACGCAATTTGCAGCTCGAAATTCGGTTTCTTTCCGCCCGAAAACTGCCGATCAAGAACAGGCAGGTTCGAGTCTCACTCACTTTCTTTTCCGTGGTCATGGGCCGTTTTCTAAGGTTTTGACGCGACCACAAAATTTAAAGTCGTTGGTCACTGAAGGCACACACTCAATATTAAAAATTAAAAAAATATGGAACCCATTTTTTGTGGCTTCTAAAAAGCTGCAGATACGTTGCTTAAAAAAAAAAGTTCCACAGAGAACCGGAAGCATTTTGTGCGCGCGTCGTTTCGCGTATGGTAGGACTCGCGGGGACGGCAATGGCAGCGGACGACGGGCGTGGGACCTCTATTTCAGAACTGTCGCTCGCAGTACCGGCGAATTCAGTCTGCCTTTAAAAGAGAAATTCGGGACTGATCAAACGAATTGGTACTCATCCCGTACGACACACCCGACCACCAAGCCGATTTGCACGAAGACGTCGCCGAGCCGTCGCTCCCCTCTCGTGGCTGAAGACATCGCTCGCGCAAACGTCAAGCACGAAGTGTGCACTTCGAGTTGAATATGCACGTGTACGATTTCTTTACTAGGTGCGAATGTCGCCAATGCATAGTGCTCCCCAACTTCGACCCAAGAGTGCTTTTGCTGGAGGAAAATTGGCAGCAAACATTCCAACTTAGTTTACCGGCTGCATTATTACTGAGGAGGGAGTTCCCCTAGTAGCTCAGTGGAAAGACGTCCACTTCACACGCGGCAGGACCGGGTTCAATCCCCAGTGAAAGCATACTTTTTTTTTTTCCTTTTTCAAACATTTTGCAATGTTTACATTTCGTTTTTTTACAAGTGTCACTGAAGAAACAAACAAAAAAAAATAACAAACAAATGTTGTGGACGAAACGTCGCTGAACTAAATGGTATGGGATTTCCTTTTTGACACCTGCGAACTGAATCACTTTCCACAAAATACAAGGAGCATATAAATCGGGTAGCGTCCGCTTTCCGAGGTGCCCATAAATGTTCTACAGGAATTGCGGCCAGCCATTGGTCCCGATCCTGTTGATCTTTCGGAAACTCTGTCGCACAATGCCACTTTTTTTCGGACGCAGGACATGTGAGCCAGCTCTTCACGCAACATCTTGGGTGTAATCTTTTCGGAGCCAATCACGGAAATTCACCACGGGCACTCACTATACTCATCTCCAACTCCTCGATGCACAAAACAACTCATCTTGAAGTACAGAACAGCGAGCGGAACAAACATAACTGCAAAAGAATCGCACAGCAAACAGTTCCTGCTACGCCGTCACGCACGTCGTCTGCTACGCAGAGGAAAAAAAAAAGCGCACGGTCGGGTGTAGTTACGTGATTTCCACCATTCCCTCTCTCCTCTCCACTTCTCCGACCTTCGTGCGCCGGTTTCAGTTTCCAGCAGTTGCGTCTTTTAGCTTTATTAAAAATATACGCTACTCTTTTGCAAAATATTAATTGGGTAGTCCTCCGACACCATAAAAAAGCACCTGGCAAAAAAGGAAAAAAAAAAAACTTTTGGGGGGTATCAGTGTCCCTTTAAGGCAACTACCCAAAAGGGTTGACTTTGAACCTTTGGCTCAATTTGAATGAAATTTACAATATATACTGGCAGTAGCAAGGAAGAATGCAGTGCAAAGTTTCATCTGTCTACATGAAATGTAAAAGAAATTATAGTTGTTTTTATCAGGAACACACTGACTTTGTTTAGGAAAACTATCGTCAGAAAACTAACGCAATATCCAAAGTTTTTCTTCACTAGATCTGCAGCAGGATGCCTGAAAGAGCATCTGTGAAAACAGAATTTCCTAAAATTTATTTTATGCTAACATCACAGTGAAAAATCAAATAACTTTTTGCCTTTTATGTCGTTAACAAAATCTTAACTTTTTTTATAAAAGACATTGAGAAAGTCAAAAAGCAATTCCACAGTTGCATTGCCCATAAAATTTCAGTTGGGAAAAACAATGAGCAAGTCTTTCCTTTTGTCCCATTAACAAACGACGGTTCTTCTCAAGTGAAATTTATGCCAAAAAGTGGAACAAAGAAAAATGTGTTCAAAGTGCTCTAACCTCTGCCTTTTCTTTAGCATTGGTGGACCAAAAATAATTCATAAAACATTAACTACGCAGTGTAAACTAATGAAACTTTCTGGGAATACTCTTTAGATGGTGGATATAAATATGCCTTTTTCAAAACTCTAATTTTTTTGCAGAAATTGTTTTTTCTGGGTAGCATCCCCCCTTAAACATAAACATTACTAAACTCTGTAATTCTCACTAAAACCAATGTCATAAATGTTGTTCACAGCCTGTCCGCATGTATGTCACATACAACTTGGAACAATTTTAAGCACCAAACTCTGCCTTCTATTTTTCCCTGATATGGTATGAGACCACAGTTTGTCACCATTTTTATAAAAAAAAGTACCTACCATAAAATCCCGTAAAGGCGCCCTCCCCTAAGAGATTACCCCTCCGGTTTTTCTGGCCAAACATCTGAAGGCTAAAAATCCCCAAACATCACCCACCCGATCTCCATTGGTCATCATGCGGCATCGGACCCGAATAACATCAACCATGCGTGCGATATCCATTACCATGAGCTTGTAGAGAGTTTGTAGAGGATTTCTGCATTATCGCACCATGAAACGCAAATCTGCTGTGTCCGTGATCTGCGGCATCGGTTACCGTAACATGAGAGTTCGTAGTGAGTTCCCGGGTATTTATTCCACCATGAAACACGAATCTGCTGTGTGCACGATCTACGGTATCAGTTCACCGTGCAATGTTAATCTGTGTGTCTGCGATCTGCGATATCAATTCCTATGTCAGCGGGTGCCCAATGTTTATCTGTCTTTTTTATCAACTTTTGCTGTCTCATTCCCAACGATCAATCCCACAATATTTTTTTGCTATTTATCTCTTCAAAATAGATGGGCATCCTTACGGGATTTTACAGTATGCTTTAATCAAAATGATCTATATGCCATTAAAATTCAGATGTATTAAAAAGAATCAGAATTCAAATGGGTAAAGTATTCTGGCAAGTTTTTCTAAACAACTTTATGGCTTTCCCAAAGCTATAGTTATGGTAAACAATGCAGTTCAAAGATGACAGCTGTGAGCATGAAATGAGCAAGCATTGCGAGTTGGGTTGCCTTGTTTCATATGCAGAGAAATGCTCTAGGGTGCCGACTCTTCCCAGGATGCAACAGCCCACAAGAGAGGTGAATTTCAGAATTACATCAGTGAGCAGAAGTCTAGGCCTGACACAATTCAGCAAACATCAAGTGGAGGAACGATCCAGCTTATTAAAAGTGTCGAAAATTAAGAATTCAAGTCGTTCATTGAAAAGCAATATTAGAAACTGCTTTCTTTATTCGTACAGAAGAATTGCTTCTTTGGGGGAAGGAAGACACATACTACAAAAATACAATGCACCATGCTCGTGCATTAAAACTGACAATCAGCATCAACATATTTTATGAGTGAAAATGATGCATCATGAGAAGAGTCCACTGCATATTCAACTCTCACTATACCTGCTCCAACCACAAGTTTCCATTTTGACATAACTAAAAAAAAAAGGCCTAAGAAGACCTCCAAACCCAGCACAATATCATCAACTCACGAGTAACAACTAAGAAATTAAAAAATTAATTCTTTTTTTTTTAGTATCATATACGCAAAATTTTTAGCAGAAAGGCAAACGACTAACAAAGCTTTACCACAAAAATATTTATCACAGTTGTTCTGATATTACAGCAAGGCAGAAAAAAACCTCGAGCTATCCCGTGCTATGCTGAGGTAAGACCTGATACCAGGCAAGGTTTGAAAGTCTCAATGGTTTCGTACAATAAAGCACGATCCACTAACTGACAGTATCAAAGAATAAAGGCAGCAACTGTGTGAGAGCTCATAAGAAAGCGTGTGTTCAACATACAAGTGCTAGAAAGCAGTGTTCAACTTGTTACGGCAGTGCTGATTCACAAAAGATGCAACCGCTGAAAGCACAACTAGTACATAGTATTTGCAGTGGGTCAGTCCTGGCTGCTCCATGCAAGCAATTGCCAGACCCAACCTTATTTCAAAATATGGTTAGCCTCAAAACTTTGTTTTTCAATACTCTGGAACAAACAATTAAAAAGTGCTGCGTTACTACAGTCGAGCCCGGTTATATCACACCCCGGTATTTCGAATTATTGTTTATATCGAACAGTTCAAACATACCCCTTCAAAATCCCATGTAATAGTATAGGAGCATTGTTTTTCTGTATCGAACTCCCATGGGGGGAAACTCAATACAGCGAACATAGCTAACGAAGCACAGCAGCCCTTGCTTCTCCCGCGGTCGGATTATGCCGGCAGCGAGCAAATAGCTCATAGCTCGCGTTGGTAGCAGGGCTGGCAGACTGCCAAGCCAGCATACGCGCCAGGGGATACGCAGCGCAGTGAAAGGAGCAGCTGTAAAAAGAGGACAACCGTAAAAAAAAAAAAGGCTCGAGGTACACCTAAGCACTTCTTATGAGTTGTGAATGCGAAAGCATGCAAGCCGCTCTTCCGCTCCCTTATTTCGTCTGCTACATACTTTTCGTCGCCGGTCAGCACGCGCAAGCGGTGCGCTGACCTTGGACGCTTCGCGTTAACAGTGCGCTAATGGACACACAGCGCCATGGGGTGAACAGTTGTTGAAACTGACGCGCAGCGGCCAATGGGGGCCTCGTCGACGCATGCCAACCAATGGGATTGAAGCCGAAAATTCATCAGCTTTACTCCGCTCCTTTGGGAACAAAGAATTTAGGTGCCGTTGGCTAGCTTTTCGTGTGGTTTCATAGCTGGGCGCTGGCTTCACTTGGAGAAAGGATTTAAGGTGCCGTTCAGCGTGCTTTCAAAGCTGATGATATCGGCTCGCTCCATAAAACAATTAATGCTTTGCCAGTTTTCTTCTTTTTTTTGCTGCCTTAATTTAGTGAGTTTTTTTTTTTTTTTTTTATTTTTTTGTCGCTTGCTTAATTTTATTCTAGATTTTTTTTTTATGAGGCTGGCTTTTTTTTTTTTAAATTAATTTCGTGTTTTGTCGTTGGTGCAATGTGGAGGTCGTGGCCAGGCACGCCGGTAAACAATTACAAACACCGTTTGCGATCTTCACCAACTAAGCTCTACTGTATTTAGCGGCTCTTAGAGGCTCTTTTTGGTAAGGTCCCGTTTGTTGCAGCCTTCGGTAGTGGCAGAGACAAGCGGAAATTTCATCTGGAGGTTCAGTTAACATATTTTTTATATCAAATTATGAATATAATTATTTTACGATCCCCTTTGAATTTGATTTATCCAGGCTCGACTGTAGTTGGCATTATATAGTACTCGCACTTGTACAACTAGTGCCTTTGAAACGAAGACGACCATGAAATGATTTTCAGGTGCAGATTTTCATTGGAGAGGCTGCACTACGACAACTCTTTGTAACTCCTTTCGTTATTGTAAAAGTTACTAGACTGTACCTCACCTCAAGGTGTAGCAAAGGGAAGACTACAAGCGAGAGCTCCTTGCTCAAGAATGCACCTCGGCCGCACAAACTCTCGCGCAGTGGGAACAACTGTTGCAGACAAGAGCTCGGGCTTCTAACCTTATTGCAATACACATCGAGGTAAAATGGAGTTGAGAAAAACAACTTCCAATGGGCTTTACAAAGGTTGGTGTTCCACACAGACCAAAGAGTTCAAAACATTTACATTTCATTGCGAAAACTTAAACATTTTTGAGAACAGTATGTATTTATCACGGCCTTGACCACAAGTTGCCTAACAGGTGCAACTTATAAGACAAGGGTTCTCAAACATGACTTTGAGGAACTTTTAACTGCCTTGAATAGCAGCTGAGGAACGGCGGCCATCTAAACCGTCCTTGCATCATTCTCGCCACCAACCCGGCTTGCCCGTCTGCTCACACTGCGGAAGGTTCCCCAACAACCAACATATATTTACTGGTCATTCTCCCCCCCTCCCCCCCAATGAAACCCTTCGACATATCAAAAAGACCCGAGAGCACCTCAACCTAAAAGGCTAGTCTTGCTAGCCAAGAGTACCCGAACAAGGGACAACTCTTCAATAAAAACATTTATTCTCTCTCTCGCCCCACAGTAACATATGAGCACCTGAAGTATTGCATGCACTATGTATTCCTTGTCTGGAGTGTCAATACAACTTTTACCGCAGAAATATGGCTCCTCCCTTCTACAGAGAGTAGATAAAAAAAGATATACTCAATTCTGTTTTAGTTGTGATACAAAATCTTGAATGTAGAATCCAAAAGCAAACACAATCTCTTGTAACTGGGCTCATTTGATTAACCTGCACCAGCCTGCAACGGAGTAGAAAAGAGGAAGTATACTCCCATATCTGTTTTAAGATACGCTGCATTCGTAAATCTAATACAGCAGTGAGCACAAAGTGTAGGTAAATCAAACAAGCCTACTGCAGAATACAGGTTTCATACTGAGGGCTACCTAGCCAAAGTCGAAAAAATCATTTCATGGTCCCCTTAGCCACAGGCAAAAATTGTATTTGACATGTGCACAAAGCAGAAGCTGCTGCGTAGCTCTCACAATGCCGCAGGCTGAATGAATGAAAATGGATTCAACATATACTCTTACCATCGTCCACTGCAGAATTCCATAAGCCACATGAAGGAAAGAGGAAGGGCGTTTAAGAGAGAAAAACTAGATGAAAACACACGACACTGATTCATGGTGCTGCAACGTCCGTGCCGAAAGCATCAAGCAGAGGGAGCAACCAAGACTGCCCCCATATACGGGCCAGCTCACACATAAAAACTGAAGGAACCAAATAAAACAATAAACAATGGAACAAGCAGTCGCGACAGAAACTGATAAAAAAGAAGCGCACTTAGGGCAGCAGCACAAACTTAAACAGTGCCAAGCACCATATGGGGAAAAACGAAACGCTTGTACATGCAGTGGTGGCGGAGACAACGCGGCACAATTAACGCAACCTTCCAGGGAATAACCATCCTTTCAACAAGAGTGTATCTAGTGTGTATGTACATGGGACTTCAAATAAAAACGGAGATGTAACAGCCTTTTTAAAAAATTAGCAGTAGGGGCCAGCTATTTAGTTAGCAGGCAGGGTGGCAGAGCCTCCCCTTTCGCCGGTAGGCCTACACGAGAAGGGCATGCGGCACCAAAGCAGACGGGACACACGGTCACAAAAACACCCGGTGAGACGGGGCAAATGCATCAGCCAAGAGTAACCGACAGGAACCGAGGAAGCAGAGGTGTTAAATGTAATTAGAAACAAAAAGAAAAAGGCGGTCACATGTAAGGGGAAAAAATTAAGACAATTAATAAATAAATAAGTATAAAAGGAGGGTAGGGTGTTCAGCGTGCTGAGCAGACCTACCTTGAAACTCGTCATCCCACTCTATAGCGGTAGGAAAAACAAAGTGACCGTCGTCTTTTGAGTTTCGGGAAAGGAACAAATACAAGAAGACATGTGAAGACCTTGGAAATTGGTTCTCTCGCTCTGTCTCCAGACACAACAATTTGCTCACACACAACATCTGCGGGCCAAAAAGAAAGACTCAATGGGATGCCCCCCCCTTAATGCGGGGACACAATTGCACACACAAAGGAAGGAAAGGGGGGGGCACTAGACATCGCAAGCCCCGCTCCCCCCTACACTCCACGCCTACCGCTTAGTTGGCCAGCTCGCATTCCTTAACCCTGAGCACGCCTGACTCGCCGTGTGTGCACCTTTTCTGCCGCAAAAAGAGCAGGCACCACGTTTAGAACAAGCTTCACTGAAAGAGTTGGCAAGATGATTTTGTCAACATTTCGACGGCAGTTACAGGACTTAACAAGGATGGAAGGAAATGTCGTCCTTGACGTTACGTCGTGACCCTACGTGAGAACCAAACATAAAAAGGAGAGCTAAAGAAATGCAGAGAAACGCAGCAGCCAGCCGCAAGTTTGGATGACAAGCAAAGGGTTGCGATGAGTTGTCAATGGCATAGGTGGGAAGAGAAACGAAGGGGATGCCGACAGAGAGAAAGGGAAAGAAGCAAAAAATGAGGCTAACTACAAGGAATGACGTGAAAATGAATTAGGTGGTTTCACAGCATGCCACACAGCACAGCAGTGCAGACAAGAAGTTTGTCAACGTACCTTCATCCCAATGAATCACTTAGGGAACAAGAGGCATACTGAATTTGAAAAAACAGGCCCATGAAAACAATGCAACACCTTACGCAATTACTTTTATTTTAAAACAAATTTTAAAAAAAATGTCAAGAGTCTCAGATATTGCCGATGAAACTGCAGTGGATGTTCTTTTCAATATGTCTCCGTTAGCTTTCACAGTCCTCAACCTCATTGTGTTGTAGGACTTAATTGCATTTGAGTTAATACTCCAGCATAGGATATGAAAGAACCAAACAGGAATGGACATAAGGTTTCTAGCAGGCATCTGTGTTCTCTCCTTTAATGCCTCGCAAGTAGCTTGCAGTTGTCCCCCAGCTTAATACACAACCCCTTAATCGGGCCATATCTTTGACGGGTCTTGAAGCAATGCAGTTAAACTATGTAATTAAAATAATAAGCTACTTAAAACAGTATGTTATTTCGAAGTGCAAACTTCCCAACAAGGAACATTACGAATTTTAATTTCTTGGCATAAAGTCACAAATGTGAGAGAGACTTGCACTGTAATCACCAACAATATCTTACACTCCAAGTAAATTGTTCAGAATAACGACCCTTGCAATGACCACTGGATTCTTACTGCCCATGCTCGCATGGCTAAAACTGAAACACATTCTGCAAGAGGCAAAATAATAATATATACAGCAGTGTTTGAACTTTACTTGCAAAGCCACCTACTGCTGGCAACCAATGGCCTCATTGGTCAATTTCTGGAAGGATGCGTTAATTTACAGGCAGTCCTCTCTAACTGTGATAACTAAATGTGATGGCAAAGAGCAGAAGCAGTGTGAAAAAATGTGAAAGTGCAGAACAGTGTGGGAGCAAGAGCCAATGCAGGCTGCCTGTCATAGTAAACATTTGTTTTTTCCCTTTATAACTAACATTGTTTCATTCCATGTGAAATTCTAATACTGAAAAAAACTTTTGAAGTTAGTAGTCTACAATATCTTTGCCATAAACATGTCAATTGTTCTTTAATCCAGAAGACACTACAAGAAGACACTGTATTCGGTATGTCTATTCTAGACAATGATTGCTGCTGCTAAAATTCTACAATCAATGATTCCTAAAGCCCTCCAAGACTAAAGCAATGATATCAAGCACAGGCCATGAGTATGTTTGTCTGCATGCACTACAAAATGGCACACTGCCTATTTTAAAAGGATCCTTGCACACGCTAAGACTGGAAGTGCAAAAAAAGTGCTGCAAGCTCCACTTACCGTAATAATCCAAGGGGTGTGCTTTAGAAGGCGCAACAGGCAAAGGCAACGATGCAGAGAAGGGGGAAGAAGTAATTCTCTATCATTAGTTAAGACTCTTTCACATGGAACTATACCCTTTACAAGACAACAAGCATGAGCAGGTTTGAAGACAGAACTCGGACAAATGTTCCATTTGACAACTATAGAACGAGGAAATTTTGCATTAATTTCTATGAGCAGAGAGCACATAGTGCAAGAAAGCATTCACAATGTGACATACCTCACTAAAAATTACTTATAAGTGTGAAGACAACATTTACTGATGTCAACAAACTTGTAGCAACCGACGCTAAAAGGAAACACCATCTTACACTGCACACCAGGGCTCCTCAAACCCCTCAATCTTAGGCAAGCCATCTGTCTTCCGACATTCTTACACAACGCTGAAGAAAGCGATAGACTAGTATCTGCAGCACAGGAGCATTGTCTACAAGACTGCAGAGACAAAAAAAGGTGGAGTGTCATGCATAAATGCATGGCTCAGTCATGCTCGAATTGTGCACAAAGTAGGCCGCACTTGGGGTAGGGATCACTAAGAGATTAACCGTGTTTTAAGAAACCCAGTCTCAAAACCTATGCCACGCATGAAAGGTTATTGAAGGAACTTTGCCCCATTAAAGACAAATTAAATTATTATTCGCATAATCCCAATTGTGGAAGCATACATTTTCCTGCACTACTGAAAACAGGAAAAACAACTCCCTGTAACGAAGGATTAGAGTGCAGCCCTTGAGGAGGAGGATGGAAGGGTACTGAGGGATAGGAGACTCCCTAAGGTCACATGACCTCAGGGGGGTCACATGACCTGAGGGGGGTCACATGACCTGAGGGGGGTCACATGACCTGAGGGGGGCTACGACACCTAAATTTAGCGGGGAATTTTTTCCGCTGGATTAAGAGGGGAAAATTTTCTGCTCAATTTGGCGGGGAAACTTTTCCGCTAAATTTAGCGGGGAAAGTTTTACGCTAAATTCAGCGAGGAAATTTATCCCTAATACACCGCATGGTTACGCTGACGGCGATGCCGCTCAAGCCGGAAACGGGCGCCTAAAAGCTGCGCTATAAAAATTGTCCTCGACTACACTCATAATGAGACACTTTACAGAATTTGATGTGACAAGTACTTTACAAGGATTATAACAACCCTAAAATGCTAACACACTGCTGGCTGTCCAACATTCTGTCTCAAGATTAGAAATTGGAAGTTGCTCCTAGACATGCTTCAACTCGGCTCAAAACAAATTTTTTCCACTACTATCTTCGATTTTGACCTCCACTTTTCAAATAATTTTAAATGTGTGCTTCAAAGTTATAGTGCTACCATTCAAGTATGGTATCGCCTCGATAACCTTGATTTTCCTTTTAGTGACAGTGGTTTCACTGAATTCTTCCCTACCAGGAGTAAACAAGGGTTCATTCTTCATAACAATGAGGCTACAAATATTGAAAAGGTACCTCACATTCAAATTTTGGGATCTGGCTGAGTGACTCAGACCAACAGCTACATGATTTAGCTGAAGCTACATTTAAGAACTGTTCATAGTCCTTCACTACCAAAGGACTTAGAAGTAGTAAACTTGTTTAGACTACAATTTCAATGATGAAGGAAGACCAAGAATATAATCCTTGTCATACCTTAGATATTTTATGCCAGACTGCTAAAAGTTTGTGTATACTTTGCTGCAGAAATCAATCATGTTTGAAAAATGTCAGTTCTTACTAACTTGTAGTATGTGTACCAGAATGCAATGAAGACAAATGCCAAATTTCTAAATGTGCATGAAAAAATACAAATTCAGTTTGAAGAAGAACAATGATAGGACACCTTTTTTTGTAAGCAGATTGCAAAAAAAAAAGGAAAATCAAGGGGGCCTAAAATCTGGAAATGTAAGCATAAAAATAAAATGCAATTTTGATGACAACAGTTACAATAAAAAATAAAAAACTTTTTTTGTGAGACAATGACAAAATATCTCTCACAATTGCCAAGTAGTTCCCCTATTTTTATACATAGGTCCAGATGTATGGGACATATTTACATTACATTAACAATATCTCTCCTATGCATGATGTCAATAAATTTTACACAGTGAGAAACATAGTTATATTACTTAGTGGACAGCAAACTTTCACTGACCCCAAGCTAAACTAACTGCACGAAAGCTCTCGAGATAAGACTGTATGTTACAAACTCAAACAAAATTAGCAACAATTGTCAAAACCTAGCTACTGAAAACATTTCCATCAAGCCACCATAACAAGAACAATTTGCTCTGAAAAAGGTTTTAATCATAGCAACTCTACCTAACACAAGGTTGCTGGACAGGATATAAAATCTACATCACAGAAATATTGAGTCTTTAGCCTTACCGCACTAATGCCAACACGTGTAAAAAAAAAAATTTCAATTTATGCGCTACTCCTACGATGTACAAATGCTGCCATACCGTTTTTTGGCGATGGCCCCGTGGCTGGGGAAAAAAAATGAGCTGGTACAGTTACAGTTTACGTCAATTTGTGATGTTTGAAAAGCTGAATTCACTCGTATCCAACGAAAACTGCCACGATTTTGAACTGCCAGTGACTCCAATTCCTTTTCCGTGGCTGAGCAAACAATGAATAAGGATGAGGCTTGGAGCGTGGAATTACACCAGTGTCACTAAGAGTTTATAGCATTGCAACAACCTCAGCTTTACGCAAAAACTTTGAGAAAGTACTGAGCCATTAGTAAACGAGTCCTCCCAAAACAATTAAAAAAAAAAAAAAATTGGTTGCTATATACTCTTTATGGTGCTACTGTTAATAACTGTTAAAAAGTACTAATTTCAAATGACAAAATAAGAAACTACCAAAATTATTTCAAAACTTTCTAAAAAATATTTTGAAGGAGTCTGAGGCAGCTGAAGCTGATAAGGCATGAGAAACTCAATAAAAGAACTCTACCAACTCCCAAAACTAGCATCTGGTTGGCTAGTAACCAAATTAATTACAACTTTTACCAAGAATTACCTTTTCCTGACAGGTGCAACTGTAGACCAATGGAACCAAGCTTAGATTCTACCTCAAAGCAAACAACAAAGGACGAAACGTTGTAGGGAGTGATATGTATGCTTCTCAAGAGGCAACATCACAAGATTGTATCCTGGCACAGACCACTGGTCACTAGTATACAAGCCCAATACAACATGTTCACAAAGTAAAGGGGGGACACTACATGGGCATGTCTCCTTTTGAACCGCTGCTCACTTAATTGGAATGAAATTTGTAGGTGGTGTTTGCAGCCCTATAGAAGGAGGGCGTGCAAAGTTTCAGCCTGTGAACCAATTTTATGAGGTTCTATACCTCCCCAAACGAAGTAAAGCATAGTTTTGCATGGAATCTGCTCAATGAATCTATTGTTGAGAAATGGTGTTGATCACCAGATATTTTTCTGGTGAAATGCATACTGAAATACTTGTTGCCAATTACTATGAAAAGAAGTTTTTAGAAAAATTTATGAAATTATTATTATTTTTTTTACATTAGCCAAGTTATGCAAAATACAATTTTTCATAATAAAGGAACATGAAAATGCAGAAAATCTATGTTCACAGTAACCGACCCCATAAAATTTCGGCATATAATCTGCAAATATTACCGTAAAACACCGGGCAAGCGCCCATTTAAAATTTAGAGATAATCGCAAAAAAATGAGGGATGGGCACTTGTCTGGTCATCAATTTCACATATAAATGTACTGTGCATATTTGTTTCATATCTCAGACATTTGGATATCGACGCTTAATATGGAATGGGCGGATGTGCGGTATTCTACGGTAAGCCCTCGGTAGTTTCATACTGAAACAATGTTTTTATAAGGTGGGATTTGCTGCCAAAAAGTGAAGGTGAGATAAATGCACTTGAAGCTTCAAAATGACATTTTAAAAATTTGTTTTTGCATCTTAAATGTCAGAAATTCTTTCCAGCAGTGTAGGTGATATCTTCCTCAAACTTATTCTGATATACTGACATTACTTTCAGCTATTTTCACTTCTGGATGACGAGTGCTACGCAGTGCAGCACGCCTCACCAACATATGAAGAATAATTATTGTTGACATTGTTTGTCAGTGCACATTGACAAGACTTTGTGAGAGTGTTCCTTGTTATCCATTCATGCCAGAACTCTGCAGTTCTGAATATGCGCTTTTAGAAAAAAAAAGGTGCAGTTTAAAATAGTGTCCCCCCTTAAGTCACCAGGTTTAGGTTTGCAGGTATGTGTTACATGTATACATGCTTTTAGATGGTAAATATGTGCACACATATTTACGTCTAAAAGGCAAGTAATGTGACTGGTCAGCGGTTTGGGGCACCTTTTGGAGCAGCTAAAAGACCATCTTGAAGCAGCAAAACAAACTTTTGGAGCATTAGTACACACTTCATTTTCCTTCCTACCACTGCATATATTATATGTTAAGATTTACAAGTTGACCTGTCCATCAAAAAACATTGTCTACTTTGCTTTCTCACTTCTGTGCAACCTTTTGTAAGCATCAATTGTGTGGCAGATTCAATTCCCTCAAACGCCTCAAACACAGAATTAGCCAGCTCTTTAGTTGTGTGTAAAGCACCAGGCACGACAACAATAAGCTAAGTGATGAAGAACAGTATGAACTGCTGCGAATGATTATTAAAATGTACGGAGGCAAAGGTAAACCAAATTATAGTTCATAGAAATAATGTCGGAATGGAGTAACATTGAGCGCCCAAAGTGATGTTTCATTAAAATCCTAAAGGATGCAATAAAGCTGCAATTATTAATTTGGATAAAAGCAAAGCTTTTCTTACTTGATTATTAACAACAATGGTCTTTTATATGTATGACTTTATGATAACAAAAATTGGCATGTGGATGATAAACTAACCTGAAAAGCAATTCAGTGGAACTCATTCAAATTAATCTTAAGTTTCTATCCTCTGCTCTAGCTAGTTTTAATTTACTCTGTTCAATGTGCCATCACAAAGATGAAAGCTATGCAGCAGTGATAACTAAACCAGAAAGGTGACATAAAATATAAGCTTACAAAGCCATTCATACAAAACTTCCCACAATGCACAAGTATCCTTGCTAAATATATTTTTGAAAAATATATTGTCAGAATATTGTGGTTTATTATTTACTAGCCACAGTATTATTCAGAACTTTTTACTGCGAGATGGAGATGTTACATCAACACTTATCAAGTTTTTTTTTGTTGTTGTTTTACTTTAAAAGAGTGCTTTTCCCTTAGTATGCGGCTGCGCTGTGGCAAAGCAAGATACGCGAAATTGCGATGCCTACCTTGCAGTTCTCACTTCAGTGCAACACACCAGAGCGTGGCGAGAAGCGCACTCAACAAAGAGACCTGACCCACCAGAGCAGGCCAGAAGCATGAGAAATATTGCACGACTTCCGAGCACTATCAGTGCTTGATACAGATATAAAATCAAGTAGTATGTTATTCAAGGTGATAATCTAAAGGTCTGAAAACTCGGAAAAGCCTAATGTAATGATCCGGCCGTGTAGCGGGGCCTCACCTATTATATTTTCAATATTAATAAAGTAAAATGATGTTATGGTGCAATGTTGGCACAAATTCATCACATTTTGGCGAAATGTAGCAGGATGTAGCAGGTTAAGCACTTTGGTGCAGTTTGACACAGCAATGACATCACTGCTAATATCTGCACATATACAGTTCCTTCAGATTACATACATTTGTCTTTAACATTGCAAGTCATCTTCCTGTATATTAAAATGCATTCCAATTGTGGCTTCATGGGTAAGTTTTACATCTTTGTGGCCACTCCCAGCAAAAAAAAGAGTCGACGTCAAGGAATTATAAAGTACTGGTGACAATGAATGTGAATGAAAGATATATGATAGTGATTGTTGACTTCAATGTCCATGACTTCAAGCAAGGGCTCTGTTAGGCTTTGCACTGATTTTAAGAACACAAAGAAATATTTCTAGTCAAAGAAATGTTTCTTGAATTAGCAGCGATGGCATTCAATGTTTCACAGTGCATTTCTAAAAGACAAAAACAAGTTCCCTGTATGCACGCGCGCTAAAAAAAAACTGAACCCCACATAAACCCGTCAGAAAAATGTTCCCATATGTTGCAACCTAGTAGGTACAAGTAATATGCTAGTTACAACAGCCATCTAAGGCAACATTCCAACTTCAAGCATTCACGGGTTTCCACGGGACAAAAAACAAACATATATTTAAACAATCAAAGACCTTGCCATGGATGAAGAAAGAATAAAACAATTAAAACTGGGACAACACAATCCCACCTTTCAACTAGCAACACACGAGTACAATTTCCAACAGCGAGCAGCCAACCATAACCAGGAAGGTTGGAAATTTTACTCGTCTGTTGCTAGTTGAAAGATGCGGTTGCGTTGTCCCAGCTTTAATTGTTTTATTCTTTCTTCATCCATGACTTGAACCAACATGCTCTTCTCCCAAGCAATCAAAGACCACTTCCTAACAGACACTCAAAAAACCAGCAGGAACTAGAAACCATGTTCGCAGGGACCAACCTTTGCGGGTCTTGAAAAAGTGCCCATGCTCTCTAGGAGAGGATGTTAAAGAGCCTTCGAGCAGCAATTAAGAGAAAAAGTAACAAAGAAAACCATTCAGATAGGCATTCTACAACTTCCGAGAGAAGTGCGTAGGCAGCGCTTCTACCTTGCTGAGGGCCTCTCACAGTGCACCAGCGCCACAAGATGCAGCCTAGCAGTTAAGTATGAAGTTGCATGATCAAGGCTAAGAGGATAATGTTCTCGGCCATAGGAGGAAACTTGCCACGGCGAAAAACAAGTAAAAATTCTTTGACCAAAAAAAAAAAAAAAAAAAAAAAAACCTCTTGCAATGACAGTTTATAAGTTCATAGCCAAAAGTTTTGAGAAGCCATCACATATGAAACAATCCATACAAACCTTCTGTCGCTAGAGTGACTTTGCAACAGGATAAAAAAAACGCTTATTCTTGTGTTTTGTAACTGTTACATCGCTGAAGAGTTCAGCAAAAGAAATTAATTGCACATTATGAAACAAACTAAAGGTTGCTGTCTCAGAGTTGCAAACTGCTCATGCTTGCCTTGCATAATATTAAAAAAAAAAAAAAAAAAAAAAAAAAACAATCACAGGCCAATATTAAAGTGAGAGTTATCACAAGAATCAGGGCACCCTTGATCGAGCAAACCTGGACGAGAAACTAAATGAGGAAATATCAGCAGATAAAGGAAGAAAAGCCACACAAAGACATGGCTGGCTGCATGGATGGCATACCATTGCATCCCAAATACACAGGCTGTCCCAATTAGCATGCGCCAAGCTATAAAAAAAAGCGGAGCACTCTACCGAAATTGAACCAACTGTATTTTATTATCAAACGTTTAGCAAAAGTGCCACTATTTTTTTTTATTGAGCCTCAATTATCATTTTTTAATACCATTTGTCAACTTTTAAACAATGATTTCAGGACCTATGTGCCAATCAGAGAGTTGCACAGCACCTTGCAAAATGCCCTACTGATGTATTTGCAACATTGTATGCTTAGCGCGCTTCTTTCCAGCCTAAGAAATAAAGCTTGTGAAATTTAACAAAATACTATGTGACAACATGCCATGATTCCAGTTACCTCAAACGTGCTTTGAAGAAACAAAGTCTGCCTTCTCTCTAGTGCACTGTCGCATGCACTCGTTCCATAATGTGCATCGGCAACTGCTAGAGTACATCTTCAAGCAGGCACCACCAGGAGGCACCATCTTGGACAGTGCTCAAGCTAGCAAGTCCAGTTGAAACCAGCTGGTGTATTACCCCGCAACAACTTCTCAACCGAGAAAATGAAGAGCACAATATTTAAAAACGACAAGGAGGCCAAAGAGCACTGACAAGCAGCATGGCTTAATTCCCTTGCAAGTGATAAGAAATTAATTTTGTGGTCTCAGTCAGTATCCTGCAGCCAGAACTACTTCAACCTACAAGGTGGATTTGTGCTTAGTTCTGGACAAACAGAGTTTTCTATCTGAGCAGAGCAACAAGCGAGCAGAATGCAAAGCAAAGATGCGGTGAAACTTACCATCTCTTTCGGCCGACGGGATTGTTTGCGTCTGCTTGTTGTAAGTGACATTTTCTCTCGGGGCAATGTTGGTTTGATGCACGACACAGATGCTCAGTTTGGCTTTCCTGTAAACAACAAGAGGAAAATGCTAGCTGTTACCGGTATATGGAAAGGAGTCACGGTGCTGAAACTGCTGTTCCACAATGTGGTACAGTGCACAAGGAAGGAAGTTGAACTGAGCTTGGAAATCGAACAAAGCAGCATAAGCGGGTTAGCAATGAGAGCACATGGAAATGTACCAAGTGATGGAGGAGTATGGAGGGATATGAACCAGACATCATTTGGTGGTAGGGAGGCAATCAGTAAATTGAACAGTCTGAATTTACCCAAGACTGGGTTTTTAGAGCGCAGCTCTTAGGGGCCCGTTTCCGGCTTGAGCGGCGTCGCCGTCGGCGTAACCGCGCGGTGCATCATGGGAAATGTCCCATAATGCACCGCGCGAGCCCCCCCACCGGAGTCACGTGACCTCGTGGGGGTCACGTGACCCCCCCGAGGTCACGTGACTCCCCTGAGGTCACGTGACCCCCTCCTCAAGGTCACGTGACCCCCTCCTCGAGGTCACGTGACCCCCTCCTCGAGGTCACGTGACCCTCCGAGGTCACGTGACCCCCGCCGATGTCGCGTGACCCCCCGATGACGTCATCGTCACTGATGACGTCACCGGCATCCACATCGTCATCGTCATCATCACTGATGACGTCACCAGCATCCACATCGTCATCGTCATCACTGATGACGTCACCGGCATCCACCGTCATCGTCATCATCACTGATGACGTCACCGGCATCCGCATCGTCATCGTCATCATTACTGATGACGTCACCGGCATCCACATCGTCATCATCACTGATGACGTCACCGGCATCCCCATCGTCATCGTCATCATCACTGATGACGTCACCGGCATCCACATCGTCATCATCACTGATGACGTCACCGGCATCCACATCGTCATCATCACTGATGACGTCACCGGCATCCGCATCGTCATCGTCATCATCACTGATGACGTCACCGGCATCCCCATCGTCATCATCACTGATGTCACCGGCATCCACATCGTCATCGTCATCATCACTGATGACATCACCGGCATCCACATTGTCATCGTCATCATCACTGATGACGTCACCGGCATCCACATCGTCATCGTCATCATCACTGACGACGTCACCGGCATCCGCATCGTCATCATCACTGATGACGTCATCAGTGACGTCACTGATGTCGTCACCGGCATCCGCATCGTCATCGTCATCATCACTGATGACGTCATCAGCGACGTCACTGATGACGTCACCGACATTCGCATCGTCATCGTCATCATCACTGGTGAAGCCATCAGTGACGTCACTAATGACGTCATCGGTACCCGCATCGTCATCGTCACGGATGACGTCATCAGTGACGTCAGTGATGACATCATCGGCATTGGGGGTCACGTGACCCCCAAGGTCACGTGACCCCCCCCCCCTGGTTGGTTTACCCCCCCCCCCCCCCCCCCGTGCCCTTCCCTCCTCCTCCTCAAGAGCTGCGCTCTAATTCGGCGTTACAGGGAGTTGTAAGCGGCTTTCATTTTTTAAAAGATGACACAAACAGAGAGAATTTATAAACACAGCTGAATTTTAATTGACAGGGGGGTGTCACCCCCTAGAACAGGGGCCACCAAACATCTTGGCTAGGGAGCCGGAGGGGAGAGTAGTGCGACAAGCTGAAGCAACCTAATGGCGGCCGCATCACGTGATTCCAAGACGGCAGCACCCATGCAACTGAGGATGAAAAGGCCTATGCACCTAAAGACAAGAGTTAGTGCTGATCAACTACTTCTGTGAAAAAATTGGTTAACGAATCCAAGAAAAAATTGTGGGAGGAAAGAATGCAAGGGAGATCAGCACTAACTGTATAGCAATAATTTGGGGGAGCTTTTTGTTTTTGAAGCTAGAACAGGAGCGCCAAAAACCAAAACATACAGGGCAAAATATAAGGAAATGAACAAATTATAAGCCATAAGCCAAAGTGAGAATGAAACAATAGAAGATGAAGTTTAAAATGCATGGAGCTTGGTCAACCCTCACAGAAGAAATAACAGGTCTGTCAAGAAGGTTTGGTTCTGATGATAAGGACGGAAGATTAAAAGACAGATCACAATCACAAAGAGGAGGTAAGGAAAATGGTGGAAAAGGCCCAGGGAACCGCAAAGTTAAATGAGAAATTGACAAGATAGATCATTTAACCGGAGAGGCCATTTGGGGGCAGAATTTAGGGTATATAAATGTCTCTAGGCTAGGCCACAAAAGCTACTGCCTAATCAGATACTACTGTCATAATACTATTAGGGCTAAGCACCAATTAAAAGTTTTAACCCGGTAAATTGCCACCCTTTAATCGATTAACTAATTGATTAATCGTCTTGTTCAATTCCTGCAAACTTTTTAAAAAATCAAAAGTAATCTTTTTTGCTTTTGTTGATAATGTGACAAATGACGGAGTATACCATAGAATACCGTGCATCCGCCCATACCACACTAAGCGCCCATACCCGAATTTGTAAGATCTGAGAATATATGCACAGTACATTGATATGTAAAATTGATGACCGGACAAGCACCCATCCCCCATTTTTTCGCGATTATCTCCAAATTTTGAGTGGGCGCTTGCCCGGTATTTTACGGTACTCTTTCGATTATGAATCGACCTCAATGTGCAGTTACGAGATGTTTAAAGACACTCACACACAGATTATTACTTGAGTTGCATGAGGCAAAGAAGTTTGCTGACACCCTCTAGCAAGTGCAACCTCTTTTCATTGTTCACAATAGTCTCTGCTGTGCTAAACGGACACTCGCACCGCGTTGAAGTGGCCGGGATAGTGTAACCTTCTGCATTTGTCTGGAGCTACAAATCTTGTCCCAACAGTTTACTTTAGGATCAAGTTTCACCTTAAGTTTGTCCTTCATACAGGTGTTCTCCCTCCTTCACGTCTGCATGATGAAACAATTTGTTTTTACTTCCCTTTTGGTTCGTCAAACTTTTTACCAATTAACCGCTTAAAGAAATTAATCACGATTAAAGCATTAATTGATTAATCAGTAAGTTAATCTATGAATCACCCTGCACTACACACTATCTATCTCTCAATACTATTTTTCTTACTGCAAATAACTTCATTAAACTTAAGCTATTAAATTGTTTGTAGATCAAGTCAGTCAGTGTGTAATCCCTACATTTACAAATAAACTAGATTAGAAGTCACTAGATTCTAATTACCTAAGCAACATTTGAAAATGACTCAAGTTGGATTTGTATTCCACTGATAGTGAACTAAAAGAATCATTGTCTGGTTAAAATTTTTTTCTTTTGCCAACATCTCAGTGCCCTTCAGTGGGCAAAATAACACAGTGCCTACCAAATTTCCTCTCTCAAATTCCCCGACTTTTCAAGGTTTTACCCAAATAGTTTGATTAAATTCCCCGACCATTACAAAGGGGAAAATTCAGAGGATAGGAGTTGTGGCAGCTGTTCGGGTTGTTCCCATTTAATACGGCGAGTCGGGTGGTGGCTTACGACGCCTAGCAATGCCTTGGGCAACCGTTACTTGGTGTGCCATCCACGCCACCACACCTTCTCGCATCACTGCAGAATTTTTTACGATTTCCACAACGATTTCCCGACCTTCCCAGATGCATTGAAAATCTCGACAATTCCAGATTTCCCAGGTTGGTAGACAGCCTGGGTAAACAGAGGCACAAACAGTCTTACAACCTAAGAAAGAAAATGCTGATCCTGTACTTACATTACAGTGTAAGACATATATAGGTGAGGACACACAACAGAAACACAGAAAATGAAAAGGTGTCTTGTGCTCAACGCACCCTGGAGCGCGCTCCTTTCATTCAAAGTCAGTTTAGAGCATCCGTTCCGATCTTGATGGCTGCCGGCTTGAACGCAGCACTAGAGATCTCTCTCCACTTCAACATGTTCGTAAAAATGTTATTGCCATCGTTGAGGCACAAATCCAGGGTCACTGACAAAGCACTGTCTAAGCAACACGTGTAGTGCAAGTACCAAGTGCTACGTGATGTGGAGCACCTGGAATGTGGCGTTAAAAAAAAAAAAAAGTGTGTCTCCCTTAGAGAAGCATGGGAAACTGGGCCCGGGGCAAGCTGACACTAGACACGTACCGAATAGTTGTATGGTGTAGTGGCTTGCAACCAAGCTGAGGGGAAGACTATCTGGCATCTGCAGCGTGTGCAGTGTCCACGCCTATATACATTGTACACCGTGGTTCACACACAGTGCTCAGGACGCATACAATTAGCACACCTCTTACAATATTCGTAGACACCATTTCCTCGTGCGAAATATTAGCACAAGAAATAGGAAATTCAGTTTATGCCACTGGTGCAACTTGAAAGACCCCCAATTACTCAAAAATTGTTATTCAATAACCGAGATATGACAGTCTGCCTTCGACCAAAATGGGGACGCTTCATCCAAATCTATTAGTGTTCGTTATTGCCACTGCAAGCACATCTGTTCCTGTGTCCTGTTGAGACAATTAATGAAAGTATGCTGTGCAACGTAACCAAGGGCTCTAGATTTCTTTGCGCATTTTTTGGCTGTTGTCAGATGCAGATAAAGTGCTGTTTGCACGATTCGCACCGTGTGTCTGTTCTCCTTTCTTCCGTAGCTGCCTTTTGAGCGTGCTGTTCTCGCCTTTTGAAAGCATGCTCGACAAACTACCCCAAGCTTCAGTCTGAACAGATAAAACCCACTCACTTCTGGGCTTTTGCTGGCACTGGCGGGGACGGTGTTTGCATGTCCACCAGACTGGACGCATTGCTCGGGATAGGCGAACCGGTGGGGGGTGTGGAAACGCTCGTCACAGTCAGGTCTGCAAGGAATGCAAACTATTAGTGGCGGTGGAAATAGTTAAGCAATCTCCGTCTAACTTAGGTGAGCCTTAACGACAGTCTGTTGCAGGTTAAGAGTAGCACGACACGCCCCTCCCGCAAAAGCTTTCTGCTGGCCATGGTGGTTTCCTTTTCTCAACTCGATCTTTTTCTATAGCATTCACTCTACTAAAGTAGAAAGAGTGGAGGACTGTATGGGAGGAGCTTGTACTGCTATTGTTAACCTGCAACTGACTACACTCAGTGTGGAACCTGAGGCTGTCAGCCTCTCTAGCTAAGAAAAAAACGAAGAGGGAGAACAACAACAAAAACATCATAGCACGTACCTCTTGTCAACGTAATTCCGAAAGAAGATAACAACTCGTCGGGGTCTATGCAGTTCTCTTGTCTCAACTTCATCGGATCGTCCGCCTAGAGGAAAAGGTAGATCATTATTTTAAATGTATGTACAGTACACCCGGAACAGCCTAGAGAGTGCGGAAACTGCTTAACGACCTGCGTTGCTCCGTAATTCAGGTAATTACTGCTGTTGGTCGCCGAGTCGTATGGCTGGTATACATCTACCCACCACCCTAAAACTAACCGGACTCCGACGCGAACAGTCGGCGGCGTTTGCTCAGCCATGTTCGCACCAATTTTTTATGCTCTATTCGTAGGCTTTAAAAAGTTACACAAATGTCAAAAAACAGCGTCGATCAGTGGCGAGCAAAACAAAAACAGGAAAATAAAAATCCCAGCTTACGTCATTCAGCCTGCCGTCTTTCTTCTCCTTTTCCTCTTTTTTCTTGAGTCTTTCCATTCGAAGCTGCTCGAGCTTCTGCCGTTTCCTCTCCAATTCCGCTCTTCTCGCCTCCATGGTGGATTTCGGAGCACTACAGGAATTTAAAGAAACTGCGGGCACCAACCCTAACACCGAAAACACCCAAATATTACTAGCCCCTAAGAAGCCCGTCAAGCCCGCACCTGTCGCGATTAGTCCAAGTGCACACAAAATCGACAGCACTGGCGCTAGTGTCGGCTAAGCGCGCATGGCTAAGGCATAATTACAAATATCATAAGAAAATTCAAAAATACAATATTAATTGTTATAAAATATTTAAAAAAAATGATAGAAGATACGTGCATAAACTGAGATGACGCAAATCGCGGTGAGGCGAAAAATTGCGCTTTCTAAATCCAACGGGATCCAGAAGTGAATCAAAACATAGGTGCCTCAATCAAGAATTTTTCTATGCTAGAGCGCATGCGCTTGAGCAAGGTGTTGCCAATGAGCGCCAGGAGCGCCCGGAGCGTCATCAGCAGATTTGGCTTGCGCGTGCTCAGTAGACTTGAGAGTGTATCTCGACCGAGACGAATGAGGGCCAGATCAGGTCCTGCCGCCTGCCGCTCGTCTGGCGTTCGGCTTTGGTCGTGGTGGTTGTGGCCTTGTGTCTCGAACCTGATCCTTTTTGGTCTTCAATCATGGCATACGCTTTGAGGTGAGTTAATTTAAGTATTAATAGATCGTTTTTGTGTGAGTCTCGCAGCCGAACACTAGGCTGCAATCCGTACAACTGGGCCAACCCTTCGACCTGCCTGCGTGAGTAAGGAAAACACGGAAACGCCTGTTTTGGGAAACAAATTCGTGAGGAAGCATCAATGTACTCAGAATCGTACGGTATGATCTTTCGTTATATGCGAACCCCTTCAGTTTTATGTACTGTACTGATTTGTTGTCTTACGAAGCATGCGTGAACGCCACTGTAGCAGTACCAGTACCATCACAAGGTCACCTCGATTAAAAACAGAAGTGCTGTTTATTAAAAAGACAGGCAGATCGCGTAAAGATTGTTCGCGTTTTTATTATATTCTTTTAGCACACAATGCAAAAAAAAAAAATGTTTCTTTTTTTTTTTTTGAAAATTTCAGCTAAATAAATTACTGCCTTTCAGCGAATATTTGTAAGAGCAGGATTGGATGAACTTCCAAGCTCGAGCCTGTGACATGTTTTGACCCAGATTCTTGGGACATTACTGAACGGGTGCAGCGGTAGGACCGAGTTCGTTTCTGGCGTGCGTGTACGCGCTCGTCGCCTTGCGCTTATTTTTTCTTCGTTCTTGTCAACAGGCTGGCCCTCAAATACTCCCAATACATTAGAAGTCAAACGGTGACCGTCTCGAGACAGCCCACTACAAAGCTTTTCTCATCAACGAAGACGATCACCATTTAACTGGGTGCTTTGGGACAGGTCCCTGACCACTACATGATTTTTCACCGAATCTTGTCAGCTGGCACAACTCGACTAGACTACTGCTGATCTGATTTGAACATAATCTGCTCCGCTCGTCAGTGTGCTCACCAGATTACTTCCATGGTACCCGACCCAATTCTAAGCCCTTAGATAAGCACAGTAAACCGGACTGTTTTTCCAAAGCCGTCTAAGGCCCGCTTCAGACGGAGCAATTTGACGTCGCAACACCAGCAACACCGGCCGCCCGTGTTCACACGCAGTAACCGAATTGCTCCGACTTGCCATCATCATCATTAAATTTGATTCTTCTTTCACTATTTAGACGCCCAGCTACGCGCTAAAAACGCGTTCTTATATCTTTGAACGGCGTTGAGAATACTAACTCTTTTTTCTGAAACTGTTTATTTCCAAAAACGATCCATTCCAAACCAGAACTAAGTCTTTAGCTGTCATCATCACCACCACAGGGGTGTCACGTGAAAATATTGCGTCTCTGATTGGCTGCAGCCGCTTCAACCGTATTCGAATTGCTCCGAGTTGCTCGCCTGTTCGAGCCGGACCCGATCTCAGCAGTTCGCGTCGATCTAGGGAAAGCTAGGGAACAACCCGCCAGCAACCTCAAAATTGCTGGAAAAGTTGCTCCGTCTGAAGCGGGCCTAAGCACACACCTCATGGCAATTGCCACCATCGGTTGTCTAAAGCTTGTCAGTGAACGAAGTTATATTTTAAGGCAGGGAAAAGAAAAAAGGGCAGAGTACTTCCAGGCTACTCTGCCCACAAGAACAATGAGAGAGAAAATGGTGCAAAACGACAAGCATGCACAAATGTGCCAGAAACAAACTCTGTGCTTTTGCCGCATCCATACAGGCTACTATCATTTTATGTATATATGAATGTAAATGCAACGGGCCTTCATTAGGTCGCCCCAACCTCATTACATACTTTCGGCCGAGTACTAGTGCTTGTTGTGTTGCTTCCATTGCAGAATTGCAAACCGGATGGCGGCGTCAACTTTGCTGAGACCTTCAGCGGCATTGCCTGGCACCTGGTATGCTCGTGGGATCCTTTAAAGGGCCCTGAAAAGAAAAATTTTTCTAAAACAGTCTGGTTGGGACACGTTTATCAAAAAATAAATTTTATGTGGAAAAAAAATTTTTTTACAGCAATATTACAGCGAAAGATTTATTTCAAATTTTGCACGCGAAGTCCATGATGTCACAGGTCATTTTGGAGTGACCATCTTAAGAGGTCATGATGGCGAAGCTGCTCCATGTTTCCTCCACGCGCCTGAATTGCCGAGAGAGAAAACAAGTGGAAAGGAGGTGACTTCCAAATAAATTGCATCCCGCGCCATCAATATTGCTGTTAAAAATTTTTTTTTTTTTTTTTTTTTTTTTTTGCGTAGCTTTTATTACACGCATGTCCCAACCAGACTGTTTAAAAAAAACTATTTTTTCTTTTCAGGGGTTCTTTAAAGGGTACTCCGGCAATTTCTTTATGGTCCCCGATTTGCCTTAAAATTTGCTAAACACACCAGCAAACATTGCTGAAATAGTATCGCAAAAATTGGGCCAAAATTAATTTTTTTTGCGAAGTTGAGGAATTTACAATTTCCGTCCTCACCGTTTCGTTCAAAATGAAAGTCTCTACTGGCAACAGTGAAAAAGTGACGTCACCAGAAGGCAGGGGCTCACTTTTTGGACTGTAGACTTTGTTCCCAACTGATTACAAACAGTTCTGTGCCAAAGGAATGCTTTGTCGCGCAGCAGCAGCACGAAACCGATGCTCACCATGGTCCATTTTTAGACTGCCCGCTCGACCTGGAAGTCCGCCTTCCCCTTACGTCACGGCACTGAAAAGCGGGGGTACCGGTATATCTAAATGTCTGTTTTGGCATCATTTTCACTTACCAATTTCACAATAACTATTCTGAATTTTGCGATACTGAATAGGTTACTGGAAAGGTTAAAGGTCAGTGATTTCTGAAATATGGTTAGTTGGGGTAGCTTAGAAAATTGCCGAGGCACCCCTTTAACGTGGTGCCTCCACCGTGATAGATTTCCTCGCTATATGTGGATAGACCAATCTGGCAGAGTTCGGCACGTGCGTGACACCGTCATAACTTTAGTTCACAGGAGGCGAAGGCCATCTTGTGCTCTACACGTGCAGAGCTCCAGCGAGGTTCTCGCACGTGCAGAAAGACTAAAGTTCTCTCTATGCATTGCGGCAGCGGTGGCGTAGTCTGGTGAGATCGGTCTATTTGCAGCAGACGGTGCGGTTCATGTCGAACCAGAAATGGCAACAGTTGTGCACTTTTGCCGAATCACAGTGGCTACAAATTCAAACCAAAAGAAATTAGCCGTTTCATGCAATATTGTTTATTACCGAAATTTTTCTTGTCGCATGTCAAATATTTGCTGAAAAAGAAAATAAATTGGATTGAAATCAAAGGGCCAGCTTGGGGCACTGTGACTTCAGAGTGCACTGGAGTCACAGGGAGAAATGCATTTTTTCCTGGCAAGTCGGGCCCTTGTTTTTTCAATGAAAACTTTGCCACAGCCTAAATACCTTGTCAGTATTCTTTTAAAGTTGCAAGTGCTTTTATCAATTACGGCCTGGTAATAAAATGCACCATTTTTTAGACCACCTGAGACTGGATGGAAGAAACACGACGACGTCGTGTTTCTTCTACGTCGTCGTGTTTCTTCCACCCAATCTCAGGTGGTCTAAAAAATGGTAAACTTACACCAGCTCGCCTGCGCCCTAACTGTATTTTCAATAAAATGTAATTAGTAGTCGTTATGTTAAAGGTTGGCACTGAAACATTTTAGGTATAGCTGTCTAGGATCTCCTGGTCCAAAATGTTTTGCAAATGGTTGTAATCAATTGTTTGTCATGTCATGCCACATGTTGAAAGGCGTTTATCTCCATAACAAAACTGTAGCTAAAAACCAAACTTTTAAATGCCTCAAATTTTTTTTTTTTTTTACGCAGTTACTAAGGTTGCAAGACGAGATGGCAAATTGGTAAATACTAGTCTTTTCGGAAATGTGCCATCTGCTGTTATCGTTACGAAACCTAACAGGCATGCAAGCTTTGCCCGCCGCCCGAATGAAAATTGGTGGTACGGCTTTGGCGTTGAGCAACCTGATAGTAAAGCAAGGTATTGAGTCAAAGCTTACACTTCGTTATCAATTTGTTCTTGCCTGTCCCAAGACTGGGCTGACTCTACCGCCTTCACCTGTGCCTTCCCACACTGCCTGCGACGCTTTTGTGCCCCGCTGTCCCCTGCGTTCACGAACTAGACCAAACCCTCAGTGAATTGCATCGTTCATTGCTTATTATTTATCATTTTCATTTTTACCTTCGGGTGACTGGCTGACAGACACTTACCGTAAAATCCCGAGAGATAGCCCGCCTAACTTTAAGAGCAGATCGGGTGAAAATATGGAGTAGGCTAACTTTCAACGTAAAATCAAGAAAATAGTAAAACATTAATATTTTTAGCAATCTTTTAATTTTTCGTTCTACCTGTCCTTTTCTCTTCCTCTGCGTTTTGTGCGCTGTTTTGTCATGCTATTTTTAGGTTGTGTCCCTTCCAAGCTTGTTATAGTGGCGAGGGGCAACAAAGCAAAGATGACTACTTCCTAGTCAGCAGTGTTCGCTTATTTCCCGCCATAGCTAACTAGCCACCTTTAAGCAGAGGCCATCATTGATCCCAACACTAATATTACTAAGAGTGGGCTATCTTTTGATGTTTAAACAAAATATATAAAATCAAGCCAAAATTAGGGGTGGGCTTTCTTTCGGGGGTGTGGCATCTCTAGGGATTTTACGGTATGTGTACGGGCTGCAGCCTATCGCCTAACCTTGTGAACCGCCAGGCCCACCCAACCTGCCGCCAGTAAAGATGTAATGACGAAAATTATTATTTTTATGGCTTACTTTTGTATTTGTAGTCGTTTGAAAACCGTTTCATTTGGCACTACTGTCCTAACATCTAGTGTGGGCCCCTGAAAAGCAATATTTTCTTTTTTTTTTAAATCTGGTTGCGACACACGTGTCAAGAAATTAGTTCTCTGCGAAAGAAAATCTTTTTCAGAGCAGTGTTGACGGCGCAAAAGTTATTTTAAATTTTGCGTGCAAAGTTCATGACATCAGGAATAGTCATACGCTCTCCAGCTCCATGTTATGGCCAAGCCAATCTACCTCTCCTCCACGCACCCGAAATACTGAGAGAGAAAACCAGTGGAAAGGAGGTAACTACCAACTAAATTGCGTCTCGCGCCGTCAGTATTGCTCTAAAAAGATTTTCTTTCGCTTAAAATTAATTTCTTGGCACACGTGTCCCTCAGAAACAAACTGCTTAAAAAAACTTTTTTTTTTTTTTTCTTTTCAGTGGTTTTTTAAGGAGTAACTATAAAGGATAATCTACCTTGCAGAAAACTAAGTTTGCACACTCTGTCACCATGTATGCTCTGGAAGTTGTGCCATCTTAGACAAGACAATTGGGCTCTGTGAATGTGTTTGGCGTAAACAACCTCTTTCCCTTTTGCCTTGGAACAGCCTGGCTCCAATGTCAGCCGCAACGGGAGGACAAGCCCCCGCCTCCGCGGAGTTTTTCCAGAAGAACAAGAAACTTCAGAGGCCACTGTCTCCGCACCTGACCATTTATGAGTGAGCGAACATTGCAGCTAAGAGAAAACATTACGGGAGAAAACGTTGCGTATACTTGGCTGCATTGGGCCACAATCCGGATAAAGCTTCCTTGCTGAAGAAGCTACGAGTCATTTTGACTTGACCTGATACAAGCACAGGGTCTAGCCTAAAGGGCTAGGTTTGCCCGTCCTCCAATGGAAGCGTGCAGCTGCGAGCTTACTCAGTTGCGTGTAAACTTGTACTGCTGCACGATCCGAGCCCTTCTGTTGCAAAATTATTGTTACAAAACAAACCCTTCCAAGTTTATCGGTGCCTTTATTATGCATTGCAGTCCTTTTGTCACGCTTTTTCCAAGCAGACACTACTGCATTCTAAAACGGAAGCATTGCAAACATCTCCCCTTGAGCGCTGTTAATGCAAACTAAGAGGAAACTCTTCATCATTACTGTCATGTCTCATTAATGTGGACCCCGTTAATGTGGTCACCCATTAATGTGGTCACCCTGCTGTATTGATAATAGTTTCGGAAACGAACTAAGTAAATATGTGAATTTTTTTGTCTCATTATTATGGACGACTCGCATCATGGACATTTTTGGGGGGAATGGAGGTGTCCATTAGTGATGAGACATGGTTGTTTGTTGTTGCTTTGCTCTGTTTTGCCCTGATGTGGGCTGCAGCAGATGCTATCGAGCCATCCTAGCCAATTCGGTGCCGAGAGCGTGCCATGTGACCTCGTGCAACCCACATCGCTGCACCCAACCCAAATGTCACGTGACTTGCTTTCATCGGTAGATTGAGTTTGGTAGCATCCATTGCAATTCGTCGTAGGGTGAGATATAGTGTGGCCAACGTTCTATACATCCTTGAAGAACCTTGCCTATAAAATTTGTGTTTTCAAATGAAGCCCTTAAACATTGGATTGCCCTTGGAAACCATCACATCTTTAATAACAGTAGTGAAATATATTGTTTTAGGTCAAAATGAAAATCAAGTGCGATAGAGCTGTCATTGGTTTGTTCCAGCCGACTATTTTAGAGCTATTCCCTTCGATACAAAAGTTTTCACACACCATTTCATAGTAAACACATTGTGGAATAATTTTTCCTGTCACCATAATGTAACAATACAATGCAAAATCATCCTAACTCGGACACCTGCGTTATGCACTTGGACCGTTCGGATGGGGACAGTCCCGTGTGGTGTTCCATGACATGCGGTAGGTTGGTACCCAGTGAGCACCAGGGGGAAGGCTTATGGGACTTCAGTCACCCTCCCCAAAATCCAGCCGACCCTATAATATACACATGCATTTTGACCCCCCCCCCCCCCCCCCCCCCCCCTTCCCCCTCTCTGAACCTCAAGTCATGGACATCCCAATCACCTCAGCCCCCCACTGAAAAATATTCCTGGCTATGCCACTGGTGAGCACGTCTTACTTAAGTAAGGTGTCCGAGTTGTGGAAGCATGCAGGTTGATAGCTTTAACTTTACTACGTTGACTTTTCTGTTTTGCTAAAAGAAATACCGTAAAGTACCACCAATCAAGTGCCAACTCAAAATTTAGAGGTAATTGCAAGAAAGTGGGGGATGGGCGCATGTTAGGTCACAAATTTTATCTCTATTTGTACCGCGGATATTTTTTCATGTGTTACAGCATTTAGGGACGGGCACTCAGTGTGGAATGGGCGGATGCTCAGTATCTTACAGTAGTAGAATTTCGCGACGTCTAGGCCTCACAATGTGCGCATGTTACTAACACTTATTGGAAGCCTAAAAGTTTTGAAGGTTGGTGCCCTGTGCTGTTTTCCTGGTGTTGCGGTCAATGTGGCCCACACATTAAATAGCACCTGTTCACATTTGCACTTTTCCAGGTATCAGATAACGACCGTGATGTCAATCACACACCGTGTCACCGGCTGTGGTCTTGGACTTTGTGAGTGATACTCTTCTGTATCGTACGACCTATTACGAGCGGACTAGTATGACCATAGCCTCCTTTATACTTGCAAAACCTGGCAGTTTGACGGCGGAGCCATAGAGTGCCCGGTCGCAGATTTGGAGCGCGAGGGTCTTGTGGCACAGAGCATTTCTCGGTGATCCCGTAGTCAGCACTCAGCTTTTGCAGCGGCCAGGACCCGAAACATGGTGGCCCAAGGGACATGAGAAGCACAAGCGGATATTTTATCGCTCGGGACAAGTCTGTTTCCACGTCTCGCCGCAGCGGGGCGCCCGTTACATGCCTCTTGTCTGCCGCTCTACCTTTTCACTTTCGGCAGCCGCTACGTGACGATCTGCCAGGCTTTGTCAGTATGGAGGAGGCTATGGTATGATATATATATGGTGTTGCCCAATGACCTCTCCTTGTGGGCAGCTCTCCTCGGTACACTCTTGACGTCCTAAGTGTAGGGTGTCATTTCATAAACCCTAAAAAACGTATGCTAATATTAAAAAGTGCCCATTTTATATTATTTAAAATTTAACTTTAATAGACTGCACCAAAAGCTGTATGAGGGGGAGTACTTGTGAAGTCGAGACACATTCGAAAGCTCTGAACTTGTGTTTGCGGCCTTCCGTTTGCATAGAGGCGAGATGAAGTATGGCAAATATACTGAGGACAGTAAAAGATATTCTTCATATGGAGTTTACACCTCTAATTAAAGCAGCTATTTTATTTCTGCCTTTATAAATTAATTTTTATTTGCAAATGTAAGTTTGCTAACGATGCTTCCATACAGTAGTACAAGAATGTGAAGGCCTTCGAGACCAATATGCTCTAAACTGTACTGCGAAATCTTCCGTTTACAATTACTCAGTTCAGTTTCGTGCCAACCTGGCCAGATGGTGCCACCTGCCACCCAGTTCGAAACTGACTCAAACACTGGACACAGGTGTCTACGGGCTGGGCCTGGCTCCCTTTCTGACCGCCCACCAGTTTCCCTACTACGTGGAGGCCGTCAAAGCCATGAGCATTTCTCCGGTGCTGCTGGTGCCCTTCAAGTTTGCACTGGCCTGGGCACTCTGCTACCACACCCTCAATGGCATGCGCCATCTGGTAAATTCCCCAATCCCTCATTCTTCTTTAGTATGGCTTTCAAGATACTGTCATTGAGCAAAGTCTTCCGTAGGACATCCTATAGGGCGGTAGAACTTGACATATACTTCCGGCTCGGAATCTCGTGGGGTGCCATGTTGACAAACTTTCGCCCCATGTCTTTTCATGCGTGGAGGCATTGTGTTCCAGCTTGCTCAAGTTCTTTTGCGTCGCAATGGAATGCGCTAGCCGCAAGATTCTGCAACATAAAGGAGCTTTGTCTGGTGCTTCATGTTTATACGTGCCAGTCTTTATTCTAACTTAAAGGGACACTGACAAGGTATTTATGCTCGCCGAGGTTTTTATTTGAACATGACTTATAAAAGCCCAACACCCCAGAACACAATTTGCGGTTCGAAATTAGTTATCTTTTCGCCCAAAGGTTGAGACTTGGCCGGTTTCAGTCACACTCACTCTCTTTTTCATGGTCACCTGGCGTTTGAATTATCTGTACCAAATAGATTGAAGGTTGTGAGTCATCTAAAGCATGCATTCAATATTAAGAATAGAAAAGAATACAAATCCCATTTTTGTGGCCTGCCAAAAAGTGCAAATACATTGATCGAAAAAAAAAAAGAAAAGAAATGTTGCACGGATTACAGAAAGAGCATATACATGTGGCAGCATACCGTGGGCATACCACAAGCTGGACGATGCGATAGCGGCGCGCGACAGACCAACGTTTCAACGGACTTGGGACCGCCACTTCAGAACCGTTGTTCGTGGTACTGGCCAATCTATCTGCAAGCGCAGAACATAGAGCTGAAGGGACATAAGTGCAAAACAATTGCATGACAAACGATACACGCAACTTCGTTGTCTGCTTCACACGCCTTAGGAGCGGAGGAAAAATATTGCAGCCGGGTGTAGAAACGCGACTTCCGGCCATGAGCCTCCGTGCTTATGTTTCGATGACTCTAGCAAACTCGGAAAAAAACCTCCTGAACTTAGGGAAGAAACGTAGAGAGACGAGAGATATAAGACGAGACGGCTGACTACCAACGAGTTTTAGTGATAATTTCTTCCTCATGCTGCAGCGTCCTCCAGCAGAGGCATTTAAAAAAAAAATAATCTACAAGGAATTTTTTTTTTTGGAAATTAAAGAGGAAAACATTTTGCCTACACTACCCCACTCCAGCTCATGCTGCCCGTACGTTGAATGGGGCACACCGGAGAAATTGTTTTTCCGAATAGTGTAGACAAATAGACAGTGCGCCGACACAATCTTTGGCGTGATCCTCGATGTCAAGCACCTCGAGCACCTTGCGGGACTGAGGATTCTGGTGTCTAGCTAGGATGGTGATGTCCTCGAAAGCTGCGCTGCGCTGGCAATTTCTGCAATGGAAAGCCAAGTTACCTGCTCCCGTTCCTTTCCAAGACGCTGCATGTTCTCAAGCTTTATGCATCAACCAATCTGCCCGATGTAACACTTTTCGCAGCAGAGGAGGATTTTGTAAACCACCTCTGTTGCACATGGCACATACTGTGACTGGTGGGCAGTGTTGCAAGATTCTTTCTTGGATGTTTTCCTGTTTTCTCTGCTGCACATTGAGTAAGCTTTGTTAGGAGCAGAACACACAACTTGAATGTCGTTCTGTGCAGCTGTCCTTTTTAACTTGTGCATGATCCCGCAGATGTACGATAGAACAGCAATCCTCTTGCGAGGTCTGTTTCACAAAGTACTAGGAAATTATTCATTATCTGCAAAGAAGTGGAGTTTTGATTGGTTTTTGGTTGGCACCAAAATTATGTGATAATTCCTGGCTGCCTGCGGCAAGTTGATTGAGAACAATTTGGAGGATTCAAGGGTAATGGCCATCTTCCACTCTGTGGATGATTTCCTAGTACTTTGTGGAACGGAGATTGATGACCACACAAGCAGATGCAGAGATGCAGTTCTGCAGCGTTTCCAAGAAAGTTGCCCTGACCTCAATTTCACACATGAATCCCCAGACAGAAAGATAAAATTCCCAGACCTTATGCCTATGTTCACTCCAGAACATGTGTGCTGGAAATATGAGCCTCACTCAGCTAAGGGGTTTCTGCCGTACACATGCGGGCATTCAGAAACTATCAAGAGAAGTGTTGTCAGCATGGCTCTAATGTCTGCGTGACACAAAATCCTGTCGACACCAACTATCGCAAAGCTTTGGCCGACAAGTATCATGGCTATGAGAAGCCGGTTATCCAGAAAACCTCCTGCTAACAGTCGGCGAGACCATATGCTAAAACCCTAGGAAGAAACCTAACAAAGCTTACTCAATGTGCAGCAGAGTAAACAGGAAAACATCCAAGAAAGAATCCTGCAACACTGCCCTCCGGTCACAGTATGTGCCATGTGCAACAGAGCTGGACATCGTTCTGATGCATAGGTGTCCTGTGACCCCGTTTCCTTTATTGTTATAGAGAGAATTCGAACTGTACACACATAACTTGGCTTGCTAGCGAACCACTCATTCATTTTTCCTTAGCGGTTGAAGGAGCGTTTTGCTGCCTGGTGTTATTTGTTGTATTCGACAATTATACTTGTCCCCATTGGAAAAGACTGTTCCCTCCCTATCGTTTCTTGTTAAAAGTAGCCCGCCCCCTCCCCCCCCCCCCCCCTTTTGCGGCTCTCTGAACTTTTGTAGTGTTGTCTGCGGCTCTAACCCCATGTCACTCTGGCCACCTCTGGTCTACACCATTCAGAAAAACGATTTCTCCGGTGTGCCCCACCCAACGTTGGGCAGCATGAGCTGGAGTGGGGCAGTGTAGACGAAATGTTTTCCTCTTTAATTTCTTTTAAAAAAGGAATTCTTTGTAGATTATTTCTTATTAAAAATACCTCTGCTGGAGGACCCCACAGGTCCACGGCATGAGGAGGAAGAAGTTATCACTAAAATTTGTTAGTAGTCAGCCATTTCATCTCATCTCTCTTGCCTCTCTATGTTTCTTCCTTAAATTCAAGCTGTTTTTGTTTTTCTAGCAAAATATTGATTGGGTAGTGTCCTCACATTATATTAAATCGCCTGGCAAAACGTAAAAAAAAAAAAAAAATTGGGGAGTGTTAGTGTCTTTTTACGACGAGCCGCTAATCGAGAAGTTAACCCATGAGCAGCCGAATTGGCCCAATAGATGCCGCTTGGATGGCTTGGAGAGGAAGAAAGCAGAGTGAGCGTGGGCCAATGCGGCCCAAATTCATCGCAGGTCCTAGTCATACTTGGCTTCGTCTTGGCGGAAGCCACTAATCATGCCTGCGCATTTCAACAACACCAAATACAAGACCAGTAACTAATCATCTGCATGCAAACTGATGGGCAAGGCAGTAAACGCCATTGATCGGCAGGGTGGAATGCAGCTCACTGGAAGTGAAAAGGCGTTTCATGAAACCGGCTTGTACGGAGAGTGACCACCCTGAAGAATGGACGTATGCATGGATTGACACTGACCTTACAGTGCTCTGACGGAACAGCACATGCTCTTGGACTTCCTCCACTGAAGAGCAGAGCGCTTAGGATCGGCGGGGGGAACATCTGTTTCTGCAATCTTGTAGGCTACACTAAGAGACACACGGCCCAAGTCCGAGACCTAGAAGCACCCACGTTTCCCTGTGAGGGTGCAAATTTCCCTGTAGTGGTTATATGGTGGCGTGTGTAAGCATCATTGTGTGTTGCCTTCGTCAGACTGCTGTTAGACCAGAGCTGCATTGCTCGAAAGTGATTTCCGTCAAATCAAATTGTTGCAGACGGCACCAAGCAAGAAATGCTGGAGCTCTTTCGTTGTTGACGGTCCAACAATGCTCAAAGCCATCTCGCATATAATTTTTTTTCTTTCATTTTCTTCAGTTTACTTTGAATTGTCTTATTTACCTTTCAATACTATAAAGAGTGTTCTGGATTTTTTTTATCAATTCTTAAATGTCCAATGCACATGTGGCAGTCAGATGTTTTTACAATTCATATTTATTTCAGAAACTTTTATTTTGGGAGCTAGATGATCCAAAAATGAATGTTATGCATTTTCCCTCTCCAAAGGAACTCGGCTAATGAAATACTAAATAAAACTTAATTTCGCTGGCTTTAGATGCATTTCGAACTTGTCCGATTAATAATTTGGCTCAAAACTTCATAAAAATGAATTAGCACTCGTAAAATTGAGACAAAATAAAGTCGCCAATGACTTTTTTTTAAATGGAGTAACAGAAACAAATTTCTTTGAATCAATGCACCAAAGAACACAATAAACTTTTTGTCGGAGATACTGAATAAATAGCCCTTTCTCTATAACTTGAGGCAGAGTATACTATAGATGCTCTTTTGCCATTCTGCACCACAGATGGAAGATTTGTATATGTAGCCTAACATCAAAAGAAATAGACTTGATGTCGTGTTTATATCTGGCCACTCGGCCATGATCAATAGTACCCAAAGCCATTGTTATAGTAGGACACTGCTCAACACTTCAGTAGAAACTTAATACATATATCCGTATTTTACTCGGGCAGGCTATCGATGCACAGTAAGTTTTATTGGGGACACCAACCTATACTCGGCGTTAACTCCTTTGCGCTGCACTGTCGAGGCTAGTGCTGCTTCGACATTGCTGCTGCCGTGCACTGCTGCGAGAGCACGTGGCATCATCTTGCATCACATTCGCTTGTGCTCGCGCAACTAGCTACGACAGAGTTGGAACACTGCAGAAGCTATTCAAGCTTCGACGATGTAGGCTAAAATAGTTGACGCCCGTGATAAGCACATTCTACTGCACTAGAAGTTTTGATTAAGGCACATCATTGCGACAGAAATACAGTAAAACCCGGCAATCACTTGTTCATACTAATAGCATCACGTTGTGTGCATGAGGTGACTAACAAGAGGGTGTGATATATTGCAGACTTGGGACCTGGGCATTGGGTTCCGGCTGAAGGAACTCTACGCCAGCGGCTACACCGTGCTCGCCATCAGCCTCGTGCTGGGGGCCATTCTGGCCTTCAAGTGAAGATCTGCCATGTGTTACTACATGTTGGGCAGGAGGGGGAATGCTGTGAGGCCCCGCACTCTCTTAGATTCAAGGAATAAAGACAACTGCTGCTTCGAATTGTTTCTTTTGATCGATGGCCTTTGAGGCCAGGCTAGCACCTGTGTTACAATGCCTGGAACTCTTCTTAAACTGGTGTGCCCACGCCCATGCATCAAAAGCAGTCCCGGGGTGGCAACAGACGACATCGCAAGAGCTGGCACGTCGTCCTGTCGGACATCGTGATTGTGGCAGTTGGTTGTAGGCATGCCAGCGAGAAAGACAAGCAGACGCGAGGGTTGCCGTCGTCGCTGTGTCCCAACTTGTGGCTGTTGAGGCTTCAACAAACCGGTCGACTGCACAGCAACCGGCAGTAGAACGGGTGTCTGCCACATAAACCTCTGATACGGTGCCAATGCCAGGATCGCAACAGGCAACAGCATGAAACTTCTACAACCTTGTCGATTGGCAGAAACCGAGGGACTGCATTCGAAGACGACGTAAACATACCGGCCGGAGATGTCTTTGATGTCTTTACAGTTCGGGCTTTCGGCTTTCATTTTTCATTTTGGGCTACTCGAACTAACTATATTTTCGGAATCACCGGCCTTTACCGCTATGCTATTTAGTGTCGCGAAATTCAAAATAGTTATTGTGAAATCGGCAAATGAAGATGGTGCCAAAACCAACATTTAAATATATGCACGCATTTCAGTGCCGTGACGTCGCTGGAAGGCAGGCTTGTATGTCGAGGGGCAATCTAAAAATAGACTATGTATTTTTTCTAAAAATAGACTATTTTTTTCGTGCTGCTATGTGTGTGCTGGAGCCAGCTTCCAAAGTATTCATTTGACATCATCAAACTGCTTGTAATTAGGAACAAAGTCTATAGTCTAAAGAGTGAACCCTTGCATTCCGCTGACGTCACTTTTTCATTGTTGCCAGTAGACGCTTTCACTTTAAAAAATACGGCGAGGACCAAAATCGTAAATTCAATATCTTAACCCTTAATTTGTGATAATGAAAGAAGGACATGTAAATTAGAAACCAACACGCTCAACCATCTACATTACCCCTTTAATGAATGGGTGTTTATTTCAATGGCAAGCAATTTGCATTTATGGGTAGTACCTGCATGGTGTGGGTATGATTGCAACAAATTAAATTGGACATGAATAGTTGGAAAAAGAGTGATGCACAAGCTGGGGTAAGTCTTATATAGTAGAGGACATGACACGTGTTCCCCAACTATTCAGTACATTGCTCCAGCCTGACTGATCAGAAATGCTAGCATTATCATGCCTATTTCCTCCACTTAACTGCACAATGGCAGTTGACACAGATTTATCTATGCTTTGATAAATACCAAATCAATATATTTGTTTTCATAAAAAAAAATTTTAAAAATACTATTTAAAAAGTATATATGGAGAATAAACGAAATTTGATTGCCTGAAAATGCCTGAAACAAGAAATTGAGATTACTAAGCATTTCTGAAAATTTTTTGGCTGCTCGAACGTGGAGGGTTTTCAACGTTTTCAAGCCAAAACATTCACAACTTTAATGAGCGTGGGGACCACGGGCAGTAAAGAACTTTTTTCTGTTTTGTTAGTTGAAATGATTCCTATGCGGATCTCGAATTATTGCTCAACTCGGGGGATGCCAGAGTGACGGTGCGACGTCTGATGACCGCGCTCTGTCTGTCGAGGCTTTTGGCGTGCACTGGTACAGCCCAGTGCATTTTGAGCATTATAAATGGTGACACCAGACTGCAGAGTCCCAAGAGCACCGTCAGGGCATTGCGCCAGATGAACAGCGGGTCCGTATCTTCCTGCTCGCCTGGCAGCTGGCTTTCGCCTCGAGGCACTGCTAGGAGCACCGCTGTCAGGCCCACTGCCAGGAGGAAGACACCGGCAGCTCTGCAGTGGAAATGCAAAACTGGCCCAATCACAGTCAACATTCCATTTGGTTCTATTCTACTTTTGTGAAAAACACCAAACTCGAGGAAACCTTAATATTTAGCGCAGATTAAATTTCAGCCAAAGAGCGCATATATGTGCTCGGAAAACACCTTCGTCTTCCTTTCAAGATCGGAAGAAAAACGTTACTTCGTTTCAGTAATTCAGGCCCTGGAGCGAATGTTCCAGTGCCTGAATTACAAATTATTGGCTTCCGAAGCCAACGTGTGGTACTGTGAATGCATCCGCTGCAGGCTGCGGGGCATCTGCGAACCGAAACCATTACGTGGCTATAAATCCTACGCTTTTCCAGTGGGCATGTGCGTGCGCAGATAATAAATGCGTAGTTCTTACAAATGTTTTGGTTTGTAGAGACCGAGATCTCTTACAAGACATCGCCACCACTTTTTACCGATTGCGCGCACGCCATATCCATTCGACCGTAACTTTCTTACCACCACAATCTCGCAACAATTTCAGACGAAGAGAAATTCACTTACGACGCCTGCCCTTTCGTTTTCGAGAGAAATCCGCAAAGCAGGAAAGTACACGACCACAGGACCGCTAGAATGAAAACTCCGATGCCAACGTCGAAAACTCGGTGGGCCATAGCAGCGCTCGCTACCGCAGTTACCCATGGCAACCCGGTGCGCGAGCGCGCCTGTAAACAAACGCTTAAACCCCAGTCCAACACCAAACCGTCACATGAGAGGGAGAGAGAAAAGTGGCCAGCACGCGCAGGTGTTTTGTCACTTCGGAAGGCAACGAAAAATGTGCTTTGGACACCAACGCCGATAACTGGACTAGCCAGAAGCCCTTTTCCGGAATGGTCCATCTGGGTTACCAAGGCTCACAAGCTCCATTCAGTGTAGCAAGCAGTGCAAGATAGTCGACCTCCTCTTTTAATTAAGATGTTTGTGCAATTCAAAAGTTTGTAATAGCACAGAAACCTCAATCAACTGACCCACTTTTACCAATTACCGAATTAACCAGACTAATCAGAGAGAACACTCACAACAGTCCAGAAGTACCAAGGAAAAAGGCAGCTAAGAACAGTCTTTCAGATGGAACCTTCTTCCTGGACATGACACAAATTTTTTTAGTAGAGCTACGAGTTCCTACTAGTTGTTCATTTAGTCAGACAAGCTTCCAATTGCCACCTCTGCGAGTGAACTGCGGCTTAAAGGCCCGACGTACACTTCACGCTTTCTACTTTTGCCCACCTCCTCTCCACTTTTAGCTTGCCCCAACATGGCTCCTTCTCGCAGCTTAGGAGAGGGGCAGCGCTAAGAGGATTATCTTCCCTGCAGAAAACCGAGGATGTACGTCGGCCTTTAAACAGTAATCGTCCTGTCACCCTAATTGCAGCTCAGTAGGACACATGACAATCTCCGAGGCAAGAGTTGGAAAACTTTTTATTCCTCAGCGCACATTGTCTATTTCGCAACCACGGGTGCAGCAGAAGCCTTGATCTTGATCTGAGCAGCAATCCGGTCCAAGTCCTTCCTGCCTTGGCTGGTAAGCTTGCGGCCCCTGCATGGGAACAAAACTAATGCTTAGAGCAAATTCTGGTATGGAGTCGCACCGTGCCCAATACACATCTAAACGAGCTGCAATTCCACCTTTTCACCATACAAGTTTATTTATTTCTTTATGCACCCTAAAGGCCCTCCTGATCATTAATTAGGGGGAATAAGAGTACAGTAATTTGAAAAACAAAAACCAAGCAGAGACAAAAACAAAAAATAATGCATGCACACAAAAAAACATCTTGATGCATTTCGGCACTTTCAGCAGTAGTTTAAACATGTATATAAAAGGTACCATAAGAATAGGTACACAAAACAGAAGACGAAAATTTCAGTTCAACTTGGCCCACTCAAGCAGTATCATGTTTACGGCAGCAATAGATGACTCATGATCACTGATGGAGGCAATTTTTCTTGGAAGGCTATTCCCATCCAAAATGGCAAGAGGCAAATTTTTGAACACGCTAGTTTGTGCATATATGGGTTAATTATCAAAAGGGGATCTAAATGGTGCAATATATGGTTAGCTGGCCGCAACAAAACATATTTAAAAGCTGAAGAACCATAGTAGTTTGTGAATAAATGAAAGGCACACAAGATGCCTTCTTGTATGAAGGGGTGATAAGTATATCTTATAAACGTTACACTAGTAAAATGGAAGTAGTCACAAACTGAGACAAGCAGCTTTGCTTTGTAGTATGTATTATATTCTCTCAAAGATAAGACTACAATTCAGCCCTTTTACCATACAAGTTGTGTGGTCAATAGTAGTCAACATCTAACAAATCAGATTGTGGCATTTGTAGACAGCATGCGGTCTCCCCATTCAGTCTTGGCAGGCATCCCCACATTTCTTTAGGTCCCAATTTGCAACCTAAAAGCTGTTCTCTGGAACTTCATTTGCTGCCTTTAAAGAAATGCTGAACCAAAATTTGGATTTCACGAAATAAGGTAGCAGGAGTGTTCAACGGGGAGCCACAAACCCTTATACACCACTCATAGAGATATCTCAAACGGATGGCTATATTTTTGTAAAATAAGGATGCGACTGAGTCGGGACCATGCTGAACTTTGACAAAAGCGATATCGTTTTAACTAGGGCTCGGAAGTTTTCAGTTTAAACCAATAAAAGTACACCGAATCCATTTTCGAAAATTCGGTTTTAACCGAAAAAGGTCAGGTTTTAGGTTCAGCATTTTCAATTTAAACCAATAAAAATACATTGAATCCATTTTCTAAAATTCGGTTTTAACCGGAAAAGGTCACTGACTTTCCAGTCGCACCGCAGAGCCGTGGCAAAAAACTGGAATGACAGTGTCTATCGAAAAGTCTCCGAATGAATGGGATACACGGATGCCATCACGACGTTATGGTTGTGTGCGCATATCGATCGGAATGTGAAGTCCGAAATACCCCATGACTTCGCCATGTACGAGCGTGTTTTCAAACTCATTGTAAGGAAGACTGACATGATGCAAGCTCTGCATGTTGTGTTGTGCTTCAAAACATTGCACTGTATCTCTTTCGGCGGTCACAATTGGTTAATTGGCCAATTTTGGCTCAGACAGCGCTTCATCTCCTCAGCCTGCCAGTGTTAGCGTTGAGAGGGCATTCTCAAAGAAAGAGTGCGGTCATTGAGGAGAACCTGGGAAAGTACATGTGTGTGTACTACAATTGAACACCAAAAAAAGTATGCCAAATTTAAAAAAAAAAAAAAACGAAAACGCGGAATTTTAGTTATAACAAGGGATCACTGTATATACATAAAAAAAAAAAATTAACTAAAGGGCTGTTCACACAGAGTATATTCATTGTTTTCTTGCAAGATTGTCACTTTTAGTCAAAGAAAATGACCTTTGGTCGCAGCCGGTCGTTTCCGAACATTTTTAATGTCCAAAGAAGTAAAAAAATGTTGTGTTTGCCCTTGGAAACGACTTATAACAAATACCACCAGACTTTAGTCATGCGCCAGAAGCTCATAAATTATGCTGAAGTGGCCAGATGTGGTTGAAAGGCGTTATATCTGCCGAAAAATATGCGTGAACAGAATGGGTGTAAGGGACATTCGGCTGCGACCCAAATGCGCGACCGAATCCCATTAGGTTGCGGGCATTCCAACCGCAATCCAAATTCGTTTAACTGACCCTTTCCAAAAGACAGCTATCTAGTGGTAGTCTCAAAAGCTCCAATATTTCCCCACTTATGGCAGTGATAGGAGAACGGGATTGCCTAAATTCAAGTACCATAGACTTCAGGAATCAAATAGCACACACATGTATCAACTTGCTAGAATCAATTCCTTAATTTCTATTTTACGTTTTAGAAGACGTTCGCTTTTCCTGGTGCGGAAAAGCCGCGTAAGACTGCCATTAGAGTCGGGTTTGGCTTTGGTCAGAGTGGGTAGACAGGCTCTTGAAAAGGGTCTACTGAAGGGCATTACGAAGACTCGCAGGGAGAGAGAGAAAAGTAGAGGGCACTGACCCGCTGGGGTCCTGTTCTACCAGCTTCAGCTGTTCGAGGGCCTGGAGCGCCTTGCGGGCCACACTGGCAGAGGCAGGGCAGAAGTGGGACGGCTTCACTCCGTTGCGATACCGACCCCCGTAGATCTTCCGCATGGCCTTGACTCCGGACGGAGAGCGCATGTACAGGTGCCGGGCCACTGAGGCTGCAGGAAGACAGGTCATGAGGTCAAACCACTGTTAGTCCTTCTGGAAATGACCTTACGTTGTTGGTGCACACATTGTACGAAAATTTCTTAGAGCAATCCACCATGACTTGCAGAAAGTTCTGGACCTGAGAACTCAGTTACGTATGGTCCAAAGAATTTATAATAGCATCACTATCATTACAAAACCAGCCAATGTTCCTTCCTTGATTTTTTTAATGTTAAGCTCTGTTGGATGACTTTATTTGTAGAGTTAAGGCAGTTGCCAAGCGGCTCCCCAGATATTACAAGAAATGTTGGTTACACAGAGAGAAAGCCATGGCACGAGGTTGAAGTCGCAAAAGCTGTCTGCATGCCTCGCCCTGTCTGGTAGCAGACAGGGCGAAACATTCAATCCTAGTGACACTTGCTCAGAACAAACAATATATTAGAACTTGCCTAAATTCAGCATGTATCACACAGGTGCCTGACCTACATCCCTCTGCAACACATCTAATAGTTGCTTTTATGGTGTCCAAAATGGAATTAGCACCTCTTGAAAAATGCAACCTACAAGCCGATGATAAACCGCATACGACACTCGTAATAACCATAAAGGGACGACAAATCCACCGATTGACTGTTGGCAAGTACAGTCGGCATCAAAATGAGCTAGCTCATCATAACCAGTGATGTGATTGGCCTAAGCCGTTTTGGAGCAACAAATGTGGCCTTTGGAGCAGATATTCTTAGAAAAATAAAAATATTTGTTTCAAGTGCTGGACAAACGAAGGACACTTTGCTGCCGCAGTAAACATAATATAGTCAAGTTAGACCACCTGAGAGTCTTTCAACATGTAACTGAAGTGCCAATCACATGGAACATATTTCAATGCTTCAGTAAAATGGTACATATATATGTACCTGCTATAGGTAACTAAAAACCAAACTGCATCTATTAAAATTTATTTTAAAGTGACCATGCAGCTTAGTATTAAATATCGCAGCATTAGGTTGACTAGTTATATAATAAATAGAAGCAGTCTCTAACTGTTGATCCACGTTACCACTGCAGTGCAATGCAAAATTGTCACGCGAGCGGAGATAGCTCTTCGATCGAAACCATGCCACTCCGCTCCATCGCCAACTGGTTGCCAAAATTGTACACAAAATGTAACTGTCCAGCATACGACAAAAAACAGCCCAGCCGCACGTGCTTGCCAGAGCGGCTGGCGAGGTATAAGCTAAACATACAGAAAAAAAAAGAACCTGAGCACATCGATGTGTAAGATATCACGAGCCAGGGTCAGAAAGTTCTTGGAGCGCTTTGTGCAACGACTGAACTCGAGACAAACAAGCGCGCTGTGCGAGTTCAGCGTGCAGACATTGCCTTCTTTGCTTTAGCTCACTTCTCTTCACCAACTCTCTCGCGGCAGATTTTTCACGTACCGGCGACCCCTCGAAAAAAAAAGCTTACCGAGAGAAACCCAAGCAAAACTTCGACACAGCAGTCTTTGATCTAGAGGAATTTTTGTAGTAGTCCATTAAACAAGAACAGGAATGTTGGTGAAGATTAAGGCAGGCCTTGCGTTTCAGTTTAGAAAGCGCCATATCTGCAGCGACGTGGCGACGGCAACACTTGACGTCGCGCGACCACGGCGACTGGCAGGCAGGTACCAAATGTAGTTTTCCCACGGCCATTGCTTTCAGGAGCAAGTGCTTCACCTCACAAAGTAACTACCGCCGCGCAAAAACGTGGTTTCGTTTCACAGCATGATGACATGGCTGGTACCCACGCTGGTGTCGGAGCGTCCGCAGACACCCGCGTCTATCGTTAAAAATTTTTTTGAAAAGACGCGAGACAACGAGAGGACCAGAGCGTGAAACGAGAGACGGCGGGAAAAGCCATGCAAGACCGGATGAACGAATGATGCAGGGTACTTTGTGTCGGGTGCCTGCTTGCGCCACCTAGCTCACATGTGCTTATTACGGTACTCAGCTTAGATTCGGTATTGAAAGGCGAGCAAAATTGGTTCTTTGGCGCAGGCTTGGCGCAGATTACCTATATTTTGGCAAAATGTATCAGGATGTAGCAGGGTTAGCCCCTTGGCGCAGTTTGGCGCAGCAATCACATCACTGCATAACGCTGGCCAGAGTGGCGAAAATCCTGCAAGTGGCACTGCTGTCGCGACAAGTCACTGACAGTGAGACTGGAAGGGACTGCGGCAATTCGATGCATGGGGGGGTTGGTAGAAGTGATATCATCCCCACCAGAGATGAGGGGAAGAAGGAACTCCCCTCTTACCTGGGCTCTTGTGTGTCCCAGAAGGTGCCCAGATGTCACCTCTAGAAGGTTGTGGAGGATTAACCCTTCACTCAAAATTGGTACAAAAGCAGCTTTCCCTCTCTCGCTTTGGTGATGGTGGGAATGGATGATGTGACCTCAGTGCAAAGCATGTATGGGTGTTTTCACACGACGCCGATCGCCATCTTGTTAGTTTCGTTTCTCCAACAAATTTACTAATTGAAGGATTATATTGCAACCTGTTGAGATGTCAATTAATAAGACATACAAGCTTCTGTATTCTACGCACTTCAGGGGTCACGTAAATCCTAGGAATGATCGCTTTCGGCACACGCCAGACAGCTCACAACAAAATGGTGGACGGAGTTAAGTCAGTGAAAACACCCTGTAGGGTGAACTTGACATCTCTCGTTGCGTGGCCGGCTGTTAGTTTTAATGAATAATCACGCTTTTTTTCTTTTACGATCAGTTTTTGTTTTTAGAGCACTGATCTATTCGGCTAATTACTACCAATGTCCCCTGTACATGAAATCGCAGCAGCACGTTCCAGTCTAGCTCTTAACGGCCTATCGCGACAGGGGCTCCCCATGCAGAACTTATGCAGTTCTGGCCGTCGCTCCGCCGAGCCAGCCCATGTTGATGCCGACTGGACTAAGCGCTGACCACATGTTACCCTCCCGCAACATTATGCAATATAGCTTTAAGTTGCATTGCTGCCGCCAGCTATGGAACCCGTTGATAAGTTTACAACAGCACTAGCTAATCCGAGTTTGGTTCGTCAACATGGTTAGATATGGCCAAATGCCGACGATTGAGTGTAGCAGACATGGCGCCGCTGCGCTGCCAAAATCTCACCGCATCGTGTGTAGAACCAGTCCTCATCACAAGGGGCCAGTTCCTTGTAGATGCCGGTTTTGACAACATCCACCCAGTCCGGAACCTTTAGCTTGCCCGACCTAGCGATGAGCGAAAGGGAAGGAATCGGAACACCGGTTAGGCCGCAGTCTGCCCAAAGCACGCTCATCGCGTTACCTGTCGAACTCAGGAAAAGAAGAGCTTACTTTTTGAGAAACGCGGAAAGTGCCCGCACGAAGGCCTGCTGCTCAACGTCTTTAACACCGACAGACGGCATCTGAAATAAAAACGGAAGCTTCGCTGACAACATTTCGTGGAAGCCACCGAAGGGCAGTTCACGTCACATGGCACACCGCACCCGCTTCTGTGATATTTACAGCTTTGCCAAGGCGTGCGGTATGCAATTCTAGCACATCGAAGTTTCTTCCAAAGCTTCCGATGTCGCGTTCCAGAAATTAACCTGTGTTTGTGACATTAAATGCCAGATTTCCGAGGGAAGTGCTAGGCCTAATCATACCTTGAACAACGAGCTTCGGCAGAAAAGGACCAACGTGGGGCGTTCGCGCTGAATGCAGGGAAACGACACTGACGCCGTGTAGTGAGCAAATCAAAACCTGAAAAAAAAAAAAAAAAAGAATCTCTTTAGTGAAAACATAAAATTTTATTAAACAAACAGCATTACTTTTTTGCGTAAAATGTTTAATAATTTTATCTTAAAAAGTAGAAATCAATTTTGTTTAAGTTTTAAAGATGAAAACCTTGAAAACGACACTGTGCAAGCTTCCGGATTCCTCATTTGTGCTTCCGGTCATCTGAACTGTCATGGACGCGCCCATGTTCTGTTTTCCGAGCGTGTGCGCGGAAGGTTGCATTTGAGGTAATCTTGACGCTATTCCAAACGTGCAGAAGTATTTCTCTTGTATATACGCGTGAGTTTTATTTTTGTTTCGACCCAAGCCTTCGAAGCGTCGTGAGAGTGATCGTATCATCGAATGTGTGTTTAAGAAAGAATCAAAATTAACCACTGACGATGTATGTACATCTTTTAAACACTCTACTCATCTAAATTTACGCTCTAATCCGCGCTTGCCGAAGTATTGCCCCTCCTTTCGTGCACTGGGCTTTATTGCATGAGTCACACACACCTTGGACCACAGTGCCTTGGACCGAGCATACCTCCTCGTCAAAAGCGTGCGGTTTCTTACACGCTCTACTTTACAGATTCCTACGTCGGGGCTGACTGGACTAAAGCAACGCATCTCTCAAACCCACGATGAGGCTCACGGCGGTTCTGTGCAAGCAAAGCGAAAGATGGATCAGAAAGGAATTGTGGAAGAACAGGAAAACGCTGCGCAAGGTTGGGAAGTACAGCACGCCGAGCGTTCTGCTCGAGAAGGGAGTCGCGATACACGACGCCTTGGACGTGGCTGACGACAGAGAGCGCCTAGAGCCGTAAGGATACGCCTGGCAATTGTGAACCGGACTAACAACGATCCTCTCAAATAACCACCTTTTTCTGGATTCCCAATTTGAGAGTTTTTCCGTACTTGCGTGAGCACGAGTGAGCGCGAACGTTCCTTCCAGCAACGAATTAAGCTAGATCTTGTTGGTTCCATTGAGCTGTGGTGACCTAGATTGAGCTCCGAAAACATGTTTCTTCCCTCTCCTCAACTCATTCATCAACTGAATATGAGAAGCTCTTTGATAATTGTTTGTCTGCATCAAAATCTTAATTTCTTGTGCCTGTGAGTGTCGGCGGTGCCAGATAAGTTCACACGACCAGTTTTTAAGCCTCTTGTGGCGGGTTGCTACGGACTGCGCTGCTGCAAGGCCGGTCGTAAGCTGTCACGAAAAGCTTAAAAACCGGTTTTTAGCCTCTCTGTTCGCAAGAAGTCACAAGTGTTTGAACAGGTGCTTATGAAAAGGCCAGCTCTTCACATTTTTGCCAACATTTTTAGCCGAATGCTCTAGGGTGATGTCAGAAAACGTTTTTTCTCTTCTGGTAAGCCATCTGGAATTATGCTGGGAAGGTTTTCTGTTGTTTTCACTATTCGTTTGTACGTAAGTGATTCTTCCTTGCCGTCGTTTTTAGTGTTGGTCTAACACAGAAGCAGAGTGATAGCTCTGTCGACAACAGAACTCGTCAACTATGGTGGGGTACATTTTGTCACTTTTTCCCCTTTCGGAGATTGCCTCGCAGCATCTGCCGGGGCCGTATTTGGCCGCCAACAAGCTGAATACTTCATTGTCGGCTCATCTTAACTCTGAATGAAGGCTGGTGTCTATGGAAGTGGAGTACCAACCAAGGCTCTGTCACGTCGCTGACTCCTTCGGCAGTCGCTGTTGATCAAGATGCAAGAGGACTTGAGCAAGCTAGAACACTATCTCAACACCTAGAAACACATAGGGCAAGGGTTTCTAGCTTGGACCTGGATTTTCCTCAATAGCATTAGTCATGCTGTTCAGCTTTGAGCATGATTCATTCGGTTGCAATCACAGTTTGGAGAACTGCTGCATATTGCATGACTTAACATGTAACCTTGATGAAACTAAGACTAAAAGTAAATTCTGGGTCATTTAAAAGAGATGGCATATTTACCAACATGGTGGCAACACCAACATCTTCGTGGTGCCTATGGGATTGTATACATTGCTATGAAAAAGGTTTACAGAACATTCTTGTTGACCCGATTTGATTTGCTCATGTTCGTTGACACTAAAGTTTAAGACCACTCTGTCTTTTCATGTTGGAAAATGCATTTGGATGGTATTCTGGCTATTCCTGACAAATTTTTTTACAGTACTAATATTGCTGTTAAAGTTGGGAAATTGCGAGTGGAATCACTCATATTCATTTATAAAATTTGTATGTTGCTTTGGCATTGAAACAGGCAACAGCAAAGGGGGCTTCTCATTTGTATGTTGATGATTTTGTGCTTCAGTCTAATTGCATAAATTCATTTGTTGCCATTTCCTGCCCCTGTTTTTATGAAGACATCTATGCTCACATAGTTTGTGAATGTTCATGATTATCCTTTTCCATTTCACTGTAGAATGCTCACAAATAACTTCTCTTTTTTTTTTTTTTTACTCAGATTTGAGCTTCCGGAGCCGCATTGTGTTCCAGACCACCAGCGCAATGACAGCCGAAATCCAGACTGGCATGACAAAGCAGCGTATGTCCTGCACAATAAAACAAGGCTCCTCGAAGGTACAATCAACCTATTTAAAAAGTTCCGTCCTGCAACTCTTGGACAGTGAGACCACTGCCAGGGTGATGTAGAAGTGAATGGAACAGGCATGGCTGGAATGCTCAATCTCACTGGCAAGGATGGAGGAACAGATGATGAAAAGGTTGCAGTCATAATGGGGCCATTAGAAGGTTAGTCGATAAATTTAAAGGAAGTGTGCAATAAGATCACTTGGAGTGGCCTTAGAGGGGTGGAAAAGAGAAGGGCAGAGTAGAAAAATTAGGGGGTGGGGTTTAAATTAAGGCTAAGTGGTGCGAACTGTCACCCATTCATCCATTTGTCCATCCATGTGCCCGCCTGCCATTTTAGCTGGGTCACCACAGGTTGCTTGCTTCTGCAGTGGCTTATCCATCAGTTTCCGGTGTGCCACAGCATAACTTTATTAATTTCTTGTGGTATAATTTCCGAGCCATTCTTAGTACATATAACTTCTGAGTGAACATTCAGTGAGACATTTTGCCTGACTAACCCTACAATGGCAGACTTTTTTTTAATGTTCCCTTGCCCTTCCCTTTGTCCCCCTTTCTATGTATCTTCCTCATGTTTAACCACACGGTGCTTAGTTTTAAAAAAAATATTTTCTTACTCTGTAAAATTTTTATGTATGAAGCTGTTTTCTATTTATTTTTATTTTGACATGCCAAGATAAGGGAAAGCTAGAAGAGGTCCTTCTTCGAGGAGTCTGTCATTACAGGGCATTGGGAAAAAGAATTTAAAGTATGAAAGGACAAAAAGGCAAGGGGTATAAAAGTTCTTAAGGGTCGTGCTATCTTGAAACTGTTAGGGGGAGTTGCAGTCTTGAGTCACTGGAATGAATGTATGTTTTTTTTTTTTAAGTTAGGTACTTATAGTCATAAAGGGAAGAAACAAGAATGCTGAATCATAATTTATCTGACCCGTCAACACTGGTCAGTAGCTACGCATGGAATGTGCAGAGGTCATTTTGATGTGTCCTTGAGCCTGTGTCTCGCATTTTATTGTAGTACAGTGGAACAGTGCAATTTAAGTGCTGCCTTCAGAGGCCACTAGCATATATGTGCCCTTTAATACCCCAGTGGTTTTTAAATGGGGGTTATGAGCCCTATGGGCTCCCCAAAGGCACCTTTACTGTCTGCAAAGTCTTTGCTTCCCAGTCAAACCAAGTAATAAAACTGTCATATGCAGTAGAAACATCACATTTCTATGTGATGCTTCTTCTGTATGTGACATTAAAGCAAATGCATTCCATGTGAGCAGTTAGTGGCCTTCATTTATCCTGTCGTCACTGCAATCGCTCAGTATGGGCCGTGAATGGTATCCTTTAGTCACGTCCACTACGCATAAGGAAACCCCATACCTTACCGCAGGAGCGTTAAAAAACTATTTGTAAGAAACATCTTCAAACATCCTCCAGGGTTGCATCACAGATCGCGGGGTTATTTTTAATTAATTTTCTATGAAAACGCTCGGCAACAAGAGGTCCACCACCTGCTTCGTCGTCCTTATTGGTCCGAGCCAATATCGGAAGTCCTCAAGCAGTCGTGGGATTGAAGTCTAATGCACTGCCTTTGGCATTGTAGTCTCTTGGAACCTTTTGCATCACCAAATTATTCGACAAATTTTGCCAGAAATAGTCCGGGAGGAAACCCGCCAAAGCCATTGAATTAGGGAATGCATTGATGGTATGCACTCTTTGTTTTCCTTGGTCAGTAGTTTACCGTTTTACAGTGCGGTGTGACAAAGGTGCAGGATGCGCCACCGGTGAACTGTGGTACGCTGGAAACATCAACAAAGGCGAATACTATAGTCGGATACAAGTTAAGAATGCACCAGGAACTCCTTCCACACCCTCATTGCCTCTAGCAACCGTTCTTCTGCAATTTCCAAACGGTCTGCTGCCGAGGAGCATGTTGCACCGACTTCTCGGTCAATCTGTGGAGCAATTTAATGTCGTGGCTGGTACGGGGCGGAGTTTATCTGCAACATTTTTAACTCGAGTCAAATTGAAGTTTATTTGGATCCTCACTGGCCAATCCCACTAGGGAGGTAGAGACAGAAGGCACCCCCTACCTGACTGAGGTCCCAAATTTCCGCAGTTTACAACAGTACGCGCAATGTCGGCACAATTGTAGAAAAAATACGGATGCATGCAGGAGCAAAAAGAAACCTCTGGTGTATCCACGTATAAATCAAATAAGCGCATCTCTAAGAAAATAAGAAAAACTATCAAATGCGCTCGACAGAAGAATTCCCGCAGCTGTTTTGCATCTCTAAGGAATATAGGGTGCGCAGAATTTATTGCGCAATCATTAAAAACAAAAGTTGCGTCGAGGCGCGAAAGAGCGTCAAACTATCCGACCATCGCACCTTTCCCTTTTGGAACCAGGAGACCGTCACATGTGCCTGCTCACGAAGACCCTCCGCTATGAGGGCCTCCCGGTGTCCCTCTCGACGGCGGTAGAGCGCGGACCCCTGACGGAGGAGCAGGCCAGGGCTGCCGAGGAGGCCCTGCTTCACGCCCACCTGTGGGACTGCACCCAGGTCAAGCTGCCCAAGAAGCTGGACATCAGCAAGCCCCACTGGGTCTTCCCCAGGGAGTATGGCGTGCCCGTCCGCCGCAAGGTGTACGTCCCTCTACACACGTTGCATTGTCTGGGTTGCATACACTCTTTTTGTTCGAGGTATGGTGGCTGGAGCGCGTCTCCGGCTGGTGCGTTTACTCTGGCGTCAAAATGTTGTCCCTCGATTTCTGCCCGACAACGTTATAAGGCTGTCGAGCTGTTGCCCGCCGCCGTCCTAGCGGTGACACAGCAGTTAAAGCGTTGGCGGCAAACACCTGTTCTGCTGTAGGTCGCTTCACAGCCGTACGGTCGACGGAAACCATGGAGGTAGGAACCTTCTAGATTCTACCATGGAGGTAGGAATCTTCTGGTAGCAATCTTCGGTATGCGCGAGAGACCGTGATCATGTATGTGGTAACAATGTGGCTGGCCCAACTTCCACAGCACTGTCAGCTTCAAGGTGAACGGCATGGTGAAAGCAACTTTTGTCTGAATTTTCAGCAACAGGCTAATCTTCTAGGGGGAGGATGGCTGTGTCTGGGTACACAAACGAGAGTCACAGCAAGAGGGGACTCCCCCTTCCGTCTTCTTGAACTGTTTGGGAGAATACGCGATTATGAGTTGAGGAGGAAAGCTAAACAGGAAAAAATTTGAAAAGTGTTTCATTTTATTCTGCACGATCGATGCCTCTCGTTGCAAATATCACGATAACCCGCAGGCACGCTATTGTATTTTAGGGATGGTCGCCTCCTGTTTGCGGTAGATGGTGTCAAAAGTAATGAAGGTCTATTATGGCACACATAGCGGAGGTACCTTGCGCAATTATGACGAAGTTCTAATCCAATCGGTGGGCCAGGATTCTCTGACCGGTAAATCGGGTAAACGTTAAATAAGTGTACTTCCATTTTGATGCTGCACGTGCAACAGAAGATAATGCAAACGCTCGTGTGCCATTTTAGTCCCGTGTAGTCTGACTTCGAGGTCAACGAGACTTAATATTCTATTCCTTTCTCCCCTGCTCTCTCTCTTCTTTCTCTCACTCTCTCTCTTAATTTCAGTAATTTCGTTTTTACTTTGGCAATAACCCCTTGTTTTTGCACACTTTGATGTTGTTTCTTTTTTTAATAAAATGATTTGTTGAATTTTTTGTAAACATTAGGTAGTATATTGGGCTCCTTCAAAAGCAGAAAATATTATTTTAAAACTAATTTTGGAATTGTTTACCACCACCCTGTGCCAAATGTCAATAAATGCTGATCGGTGGCAAATGAAATTTGTATGGAAAATTTAAGGAGGCCATATGAGGCATGCAGGGTATGTTTCCTGTGGGCACTTGTTTTTTATGTTATGCTTATGCTTTCCCAAAGCAGGTAAGGACCCCTTACCTGCTTTTTCTGGGAGAAAGCCTCTTTGATTGTGTGCCTAATATATTCCCTTGCCTCTTCCTCCTCCACTCTTCTCCCCTCCTGTGTGGTTAGCACGTGTTGAAAGCCCTCTGTATTTCTCCCCTGTGCATTAATGTTTCTCCAAAACCTTTTTGCTGCATTCCTATCTTTTTTATTTATTTCCATCATCCACTGCACTACTGCACTCCAAATTTGGCCTGTATTAAATCTGATGCCTCCCTTTTTCTATCTTGAAAGCTCTCCTATTTTGATGCTACCTCAGTTGGCAAGGCTTCCCTCCACCTATGCTCCCTAGATGCGTCTTGGCGCTGCAATATGGCTGCTTTGGCCTCCTTATCCCACCAACTTTTTGGTTTGCGTCTTTGTTGCTGTTCTCTTTGTTTCATTCAATGCTTCTCTAATTCTTTTTTAAAGATTCCTATTAGGTCCTCATATGTCCAATCTATTTCTGATTGTTTCAATACTATGTTTTAAGGCTTTTAGATTCTTTTTGAATTTGAGCTTCACTTAGTTTCGGCTTCCCTGCTCGTTCCCGAGCTTGTTGTCCTGGTTCGGATGCACCAAATTTAATCTTAATTCTCTTGTGGTCACTCCCTAAGCTTTTTGCACCTTCCTCATTTATCTCCATACTTCCTAGCCTGTCATACAGTTTGTGGGACATGAGGCAGTAGTCGATTGTTGAGTTTGAGTTGTTTTCATTCCCACATTATTTTCCCATCGCATTTTACTTGTGTTTTCACTAACACTAGGTCCAGGGCATCACAGAAATCTTCTAGCAACTTTCCGGTTGTATCTGTGATTTCGACAAACTCTTCTAAATGGGCAATTATGTCTCCTATGATAGTTATTTCCTGATTAAGGCAAATTTCTTTGATGCCTTTTGATATACATGTAAAGTGTTCTGTATTTTCCTCCCTTGAGTCATTTCCTGTTTTTAGGTAAGCAAACCCCAGAAGAGTGTTCAGACCTGTTACCCTACCTTTCAACCATAAGTGTTCTCTGCAGCCTTCCCTCTTTCTTTCCCAGTCTTGTCCTTTAACTAACATGCCTAGACCTCCGCCTTTGTGTTCATCCAGGAATAGCCTGGTATGTACGGTGGTCCCTCCTTATCTCTTAGGTGTGTTTCTGCTACCCCATGCACTGGTGATGATACATACATCTTTGCCTTCATCTTTTCTGTGCTTTCATTTCAAACTATGGGTTCGTATGGTAAAGTCGTAAGTGCTGCTGTTTCTATGTTTTAATTGTTGTTTCAATGCCTGGCTATGCTCAAGCTCTTTTTCTATCTTGTGTGAACGCATGTCAAGCCTTTTGAATGCGGCTTCCACATTGCAGGCCGGTGGTGCTCGCCAACTTCAACCGGCTCTGCGAGAAAATGACGAGCTCCATACCTGGGGTGCTGGAGCGCAGCCTGTTCAGGGACATTGAAGCTAGAGCCTGTGTGCACAAGGCAGGTGAGTGTGGTGGGATGCATGAATCGAATGATGGGCCTTGTTAAAAGCACAAATTAGTATGTATATGTTAGACTAGGAACTTTCTGGTGTTAACTGAATGTGGAGGTTGTAATAGAAACTCCCTATCATAAAGATAAACATTGCAAAAATATGGGTACATACTATAAAGCAAAGCAGTGTTGAAGCATGCTTGTTATGCTGGCACAGGCCTTTGAGGTACTGATGTATAACGCATGAGGCAAGTGAGTCCTTGGCCCTTTAAAGAAATCGCATAAGACAATCTTTTTTTACAAGGGGGGACAAAGGTGGTGTATTTTATGCATCAAAATTTTATCGAAGAATTAACTGACCTGAGAAAAGACTTAAAAATTAAGAACCTGATTTTGCTACCTATGATGCCCACCTGCAAACAAGCGGCGTTTATTGACGCGACAGCCGACAGACGGAGGCAGGTGAAAGTGAGAACGCAGACACTTCTTTCTAATAGCAGACACTGTCTTTGAGTCAAATGTGGCATTGGATTTTCCGGTCGGGTGCATGATTTTGTTATCATCACTAATAAAGCACACTGAGTGAGCGCAAAACCAACAAGATTCCTTGTCAGGCTAGTACGGCTACATGTCAATGGCCACCGCCATCTTTCGGCTGTTGCGTTACCCAGGCGTCCCTCATTTGCAAACAGCAGCCATGGGTAAAAATTTCACATTCTTAATTCTTGATACTCCTTTCTTTAAAATTTTGACGCACAAAATGCACCATTTTCGGCCACCTCCGTACAAAGTCTAAGCTCGATAGGTAAAGAAACCAATCTATCTGGACCTTCATAAAGGTCCAATGATCTGGACTTTTTTTTACCTTTTTCGAAAATAGCAAGAGTGCATGTACATAGCTTTGATAGGCGCTGAAGATGCACGAGAGTGGAGATTCCAAAAACTCGCGAGGTATATGACGTCATGTTCCGGAGAATGAGGGGCTTCTATGGTACTTAAAAAATTATTTTCCACCCCTCGTGCACCAAATTGAAAAATAATCTCGATATTTGTGATCCTGCAGGCCTAATGAAGACAATTAAAGGGTTTGTTCTCAAATACAGAGCTCGCTTCAGGGTTTCTGTCTTTCACATTAATCCAAACAAAATTAGTTTAAGCAAAAAAAAAAAAAATCAAATCAATGAGTGACTTTAAATTCAACTTTTTAATATACAATGAACATGTTCAGATTTCAAAATGATTTCGAGACTCGCTGTAAAACAGTGGGTCTTGATATCTTGGTCTGTATCCAAGTAGGATGTCCAGCGTGGAAACTCGATGGCGTCTCTTTCTGTCTCCTCATAATTTTCTATTCTCTCACTGTGACTCTCTGAAGATACATTGGACAATATCACGGGGGCCTCCTTGGGATCGCAGCTGTCCTCACCGCTGAAATCACCTTCACTGTCACTTGAGTCACAGGCCTGTGCGTAAAATGCGGACGGATTAAAGGCTGCTATATTGAACACCCAAAAGAGCGCGCAAAATTCCCACTCGCACATCCAGGTAAAAAAATCTGTCGCACCTCTTACGGCACTTGTTGGAGGTATAAAAAAAACTAAGTATGCATAGTTTACATACCCGACAGGAGATGGCGCAAGTTGAAATTGTTTGGAGGCGTCCGACGTTTGACAGCAAAGGAGACATGGGCCTTTCGGGGGAGCCCTGACACTTGTCTAGAACGGGAATATTTATTGGTTGGGAGATACCCAAGAGATGACCCCAGAAGGTTTGAGTTTATTTCTTAATATAGTGCACTTTTTATCTTCTTTCTAATCCTTGCTCCTTGGCTCTTTTAGCATTCTTGCAATGTACCAAACAGTGGCCCCGTCACCACATCTTACTGCAGGTTCATTCTCTGTGTTGTTGCTTTGTCTTTCAGATGGGAACTTGCTGGTGTTCACTGCCCATGTGGATAGCGTGCTGACCTCGAAGGAGCCCCTAGGACCCTTCAGTTCTCCAGAGGAAGTGAAAGCGACTGCAGATACCGAGCTCCCTGACCTCTATCCTGCCAAGTACACTTTGGAGCTGGAGTCGAGGAATATCTACAAGATGGACGAATTATACCGTGAGAGCTCCTTTTTGTGCCACATTGCGGAACCAAAAGGGTTTGCTTACCACAACGTCCCTCCATCACTGTTCAACCAATGAACCAGTTCATTGATTCATACATAGAGCCAACTGAGAAAAAAAAAAGAAAACTTTCTTTGAAGTGCCAGGCCTCCTTTTTTTTTTTTGCAGCTCTTCTCTTAAAATGGTTGCTTTTTCTAGCTCTGAGTTTGCCCGTCTGTTCACGCCTAGCCTATATGATGGTCTAGCGCAAGAACCAAAACAGAAGTGAGGTGGGGCTGAGTGCCATCTGACTGCTGGTAGTAGTATTTTGTTATCTTGAGTTCTTTTGTGTTATCATCACAACAGTGTCACTGCAGTCTAAGCTCGTTATAACAGACCTTGATTTTGACCAAGATTTCGGTCTGTTGTAAAAAGAGTACCCTATGTTATATGCAGATATGGAGTTGAGTCAGTGGAGTGTAGAGGAAAGCCAACCGAACTTTGCAAATGGTTATGGTATTCGCAACTGCAACACCCTATAGGTGGTGGGACGGTAGTTCCAAGATGGCGGAAGAGACGGGGATGCATTCTCCAGAACTTCCCGTGCGCCAGCTCGCTGACGCTGGTCAGCGCGCTAAGAATGATTTATTTGTCTACAGATGCGAAGCAGCGAGGGAGGGATCATATTACAGGTGACAGAGATGTTGATGTATGTTAGGAAAACGAGCATGCTGATATTTAAAACTTGCAGAAACCTCAATTTGCAAAGCTTTGTGGTGGGCGAGCGCGTTTTAGGCACCGGCCATATCACTGTTTGTGGCAGAATATTTTTGAGGGTGACGAAGATATCGTGTTTGCACTTTGCCTGGCCATTAGTGCTTTAGAACGTGAGCCGCGAACGGTGACCGTCAAGCTTCGGAAGACCAGCGTTCACAGTATTGGTGTCTTCGTGTCACAGACTCAAAACTCGCTACTCACCGTCTCGGTTTTAGTGTACTGCAACACGTGATCAAAATGCTCTATGGTTTTTGATAGAAAGTTTGTTACCGCAGGTTATCGTGCGGTGTAGCATTACAACCGGAAGCTCGCGCTCATTGCCGTTGCCGTGCAGCAGTGCCGTGCGTAAATGAGCACGCGCGTTGCCGTGCTCATCCATCTAAAAAAAAAAAAAGTTGTAGTTTTTACACTTTTTTTACATATACGACACCCCAAAACTTCAGTTCGCAGTGCAGCGCACTGATGTCAAACTGACGGCCCCAACTTTTACGAGAGGCTTGATGATGGTGCGATTTACGAAATTAAACAGCCAAAGTATGCATCAAAGAGTACAGAAAAAAACACTGGGTTTTGCAGTAGATCCAAGAAAACCCCAATTCCCTTTTTTTTTACTGTCATTTACACTTGCTATTTTAATAAGTTGTACAACTCGGATATTAAGCCGCTCGTGAAAGTTGGTAGCGTCGGTTGAACGTCAATGCGCTGTGCGTCCAACTGAAGTTTAGGGGTGTTGTATGCCATGCTAAAACTGCCTAATAACATAATCGGCGCATTTATGGGTTTTATTTATTGCTCTATCAAAAATAAATATTTTAATATACCCTACATTTTTTGTACCTTGTTATTTGCAACATTGCGGCCCCTCTTGCCAAAACTGCCCGTTCTAAGCTCTCGTCACGAACGGCTGGCTAACACAGACACGTTTAAAATGCTTCGAATATTTCTTTATTTGCTTTGTAATTACCTGAAAGCAAGTATGGGTATTCTGTCTTTTTAAAGTGCTTGGAAAAAATAGTTATGTTCCTTGTAATGGCCTTAAAACGCGAACCCATTCCCGATGTGTGCTGCTCGGCATACCGTTGTGCGACGAGTTTTCTCCCACTTGTGGCAAAGAATAGACTTTTCGTAGACCATACTATAGTGCTCTTCATTATAAGTGGGAGCGTTTGCCGTCACGTTGGGCACAGATTGAACTTGCGGCCATGCACAAAACCAGCAATCCGCAGCGTATGCGATATACGAAAAGTCCTTAATGAAATTAGACATTCCGGTCCTTCGTGAAACGCTGTTGCAAGGCGGAGCACGAGAATTCTTATTTTAACGCGCTCACTTCTTTTACTAAAATGGCTCCACGCATCAGGGCCGACAGCCCCTGTCACTGTATCCGCGCCGCCGCCGCCGCTCCCATCCCCGCTCCTCTGGTTCTACGTCCGTCTGCGAGAGTGTGAGCAGCGGGCTGGAGTTGCAAATATCCAAATGTCTGTTGTAACCAGGCCCGTTGTAATGAGCTTAGACTGTACCAACAGAAGAGCAGGAGTATGCTATCGTAAAAGTATGTAATAATATAGTATAAATCTCCATGTGACAGCTTTCGTTTCGAGGCTTGCTTTATTAATAAATAAGTTAATGCCACGTTTTCCTGACTATAGTCTGCACCCAGTGTATAATGCGCAGGTGCAGATTTTGGTTGAAAGAAAAGGTTTTTTCTTAGATTGCAACCTTGTGCATAGTCTACCTCTGGTGCCTTGTCTGTACGTAAAAAAACTCATACACAGCAGACCTTGGCAAATGCCTTCTTTATTAGCTCACAGAGAAGCTTGTATCATATGTAAATCATCTTTAGCATTCACCCTCATTCTAAAAATCTGTTGGGTCTCGTCATGATGAACAATGTAGAAAAACAAATTATTGTATAGTTCAGACCTGTAGATAGTCCGCACCACATAGAATTGGGTCTGTGGGCTATAATAAAACAAATACGGCACTTGTGCTGCTTTTTTTTTTTTATGTTGAAAGTTGTGTGGATTGACCTGGGTGCTTCCCTGCTGTGTTTCTGTGCAGCAATGCCACGGACGTCGGGCAACCAGCACCCGCACACGTTGCACGTAACCCACCCCTACGACTACTTCTGGTTCCCCCAGCAGAAGCTGGCCAGGGCCATCCTCGCGTGCTTCACCTTTGCCGCCGCACGTGCAAGGCAGCTCTATGGGGTGAGCTCCCCTCCGTATGCTCAGCACCTTTGAAATTCTGTCAGTTTGTTGTTGCATAGTTGACTCCCTGCTTCGCGAGGAGGAACCCCCCTGAATGTTTCGTGACGAATGAGCATTTAGTTTTTTGTGTAGTAGATGTGTGTATTGATGCAGTGTCCCCACCTGCGTAGTGCTGAGACAGTTACGGTCTTGGAAAAAATTCCATCTCGTTCAATGCTTACTACTGCAAGAATCACCAGAGAACAATTGTTTGATGACCGTCAATTATCATAGTGATATTTCCGACATTACTAAAAAACTGTCTGCTGTGCAGTGAATACTAATGAGTGATTGCTCAGCAGTGAGGAAGCAAAAAGTATATTGTCTTTTAGTTGGTCGAGCCAACACATCATCTTGGTAATCAGTATGTGTCATCACCAATAACAAGAATTCAGACATGTGTAAACAATCCGTCATGCAAGCTTCAATATTTTTGATAATCAAGGTAATTTTATCAGGCAGTTGAATTAGATGCTTATTCTCTCTTATGCATTTCTTTCCTTTGCTCACATTTTAATTTTTTATAATATATCTACTATATGCCTTTTATTTATTTCAGCACGCTTTACATTCTCTTACGTCATGCCATATTACAGACAATTGGTGATGGGCACAGAAATAAAAAGATTGAGGATGATCATATTTTCAGTGTAAGGAGGGTGAATTGTAAGCTTCTGTTGTCCTAAAGTAACTTTTGCTGCTCATAAAGTGTTCTAAAATGACTACCGTAAAATACCGAGCTAGCGCCCACTCAAACTTTGGAGATAATCGTGAAAAAATCGGGGATCGGGCCGATCCCCGATTTTTTCACGCCCACACCACACTAAGCGCCCATTCCCAAATTTGTAGGATCTGAGAAAATACACAAAGTACATTTATATGTAAAATTGATGAGCAAAGAAGGGCCTTCTTTGCTCATCAATTTTACATATAAATGTACTTTGTGTATTTTCTCAGATCCTACAAATTTGGGAATGGGCGCTTAGTGTGGTGTGGGCGGATGCACGGTATTCTACGGTAAGAGTAATCACATAACTGCTGTGGCAACGCAGGCAGACACGGTGACCCCTCCTGAGCCTGTGGCGGTGCAGTGTACGTTCAGTGATGTCAAGTCTTTCGGGTTCCTGGCGTACCAGCTGAACACCCTAGACCTTCGGGAGGACAACGGCATCAAGAACCAGGTCTGGGTGGACGGGCCCCACGACCTCTACGAGAGCTGCAACCACGAGACGGGCCTCGAGGGGTTCAGTCCCGTCGCCTTCCAACGGTTTTTGGCTCTTTACAAGAACGGCCTTGCTGCGTAGGGCAGTGCAGTTTCTCTTGTAGCATAGACTCCTTGCAGTCTTAGCTAAGCTAAATAAAGTTGTTTCATTGCAGGCTGGTAACTCGGTCAGTGAACGAGCTCCTGTAATGTTTCTGTAATGTAGTGATCATTGTTGTATTATGCAACAACAATAATACAACAATGATCACTACATTACAGTTTCCATGGGGCACCTCCTGCGCTGGCGTTGCTTCTTCACTTAACCCCGCTTCTTTTACATATTTCTTTTTAGAGGTCTACAAATTTAGTGCATCTCCACTCCTTTTAGATAAATCATTTTTTGACTGTCTAATAACATTCAAAACTTCAAATAATTTGCGAATGGTTTTCGCTGTTCATTTGGTTTGCAACACACTTTTACTGTTTCAAGCTTCACCGCTTTGCATCAATACCACCTCGAAGATAAGACCTGCACCTTTCCCCTTCCCCCAAACGACATCACTAGTGGATCCATGCAGTGCCACCTAATTTGCATCAACATCGCAGCTATACAAAAAAATATAAAAGTGTGTCTTGCAGCATTTTTAATGAATGTGACGTCATAGTAAGTTACAGCTCAAGAAGGTAGGGCAAGGGAAAGAAAGGCTGGAGAGGAAGAAGCAGACGGAATGCTGCAGCGGAGACTATGAAACATCCTCCTCTCCAGCATTTTATCTGCTTACTCCTCCCCTGCCTTCCTTTCCCTCAATCTATCTTCTTAGGTTGCAACGGACTATAGCAGGCGGCGACTCTCGTTGAGCTTCAACGTGTTTACCACTTGGGGCGGGTCGGGTTCCACTAACAATGATGTCCTGCGCAGGCCTTGTCCTCTAGGTAGTACTGTTTGTACCGGTGTGCACGTGTCAATCTTCACTGCTTTGCACTAGCGCCCTCGAAAAAGCTGACACGGCGGAGCATCTCGGTTGGCGGCTCGGTGGGCTCGGAACTTTTGCTCAGTTTTGTAGAACAGCCTTGTTGGATTGCATTCACAGGTTGACAACCAGTTTTAAAGGTCACTGCAAGAAAACTATAATCTTTATTTGGATGAATAAGGTGATGATTGCTTTGCTTTCCATTTTGCGTCACTTCTTGCTCGACTCGTGTTATTTAAGTTTTGTTCGTCGTACAGTAAAGCCGTTCCTTCTCAAATATATTTGCTAACAAAATAATTCCAGCTGAGATATATTGAAGTATTGCACATAAATGTAAAATAATTAGCAGTAAAATCTCTTATTTGTGCACCTCTAAATTTTTTTCTTAGTGTGCAAAAGAATAGATATTATTTACAAAAGTGGAATCAAAAACCATGGGAAGCACGGCGAGCTATAAAGTCCGCTAAAGTCATTCTGAGAGGTTCCGCTTACGAGGCGCCGCTCGTTTTTGGGAAGCACCGCGGCCTTGAGCCTCGATGTTTATTCTTCAGGGCGATGACTCTGAGCAGACGGCAGATCCCCAGCAAGCCTGGTTTCAGCCGCCACAGGAAATTTCGACGACTGTCCGGTGTTTAAGTCGGTTGTGTCGTTCGCCGGTGTCGCAGTGCGTTAGTTCTCGGTCACTGCATTCGGTCCTCTGTCGCGAGCGCATCCCTGCGCTCGCTTCCACCGCCTCGTCTTCACACATCAATTTTTTTTTTTTTTTATCCGAAACGATTGAAAACGATGCCGGGACATTACCCTCAAAATTCAAAACTTGGGAATTTAGTATTTGTGAAGTAAAAAAACAATTTCCAAATGCCGAATTTGGAGTTCCCGCGCGATCCGCCCCAGTGCAGTGACGTCAAATTTTGCGGTCTCCTCTGAGTCGACTTTCTCTCGGACCTCCGCTCCACGCTACAAAGCAAAGCGCCGTTGCCACCGCGACCCGAAGCGCCGGCGGACTGGGAAAAACCGGTTTCTTTGTCCGGTTCCCCGACTTACCGATAATCCTCTGCTCGAGCGCCGCCAAGGTTTCCGAGGGAGGATACAAATCCAGGGAGCGACATCACACCGGACTCATTTCAAAAAGAGTGGCCGTAGTGCATTCGAAATTGCGTTAAAAAACATGTTTTACGATTGCCGTTATTAAATGCTATAGAAATGTCGCATACAAAGGTTGTAAATTTCATGATTTTTGACGTCACCAATCAAAGGAAGCAAGGGAAGGAGTGAGCAGCCGGGGAGAAAAACGCTAAAATAAAAAGGCGCGCGCGCACGGGGAAATGATTTTTTCGCGATGCGTTTTTTTTAAATTTTTTTTCCGTGTCTATGCCAACAACTTGCATCGTTTTAGACAATAAAAAAAAAAGGACCTTTGGGGTGTCAGTGCCCCTTTAAAGGGATACTGAATCGAAACTTAAAATATACAGGAAACACCTAGAGATAAGTCAAATGGAATCAGATAAACCTGTAATTGATAATCGCATGGTCATATTTCAGGCGGATGGCTGTATTTTTCGTTCTAAACGCCTGGATTTCGGCGAGCGCTTCAAAATCAGCCGTCGAAGAGCGCGATGCATCTCGGGAGATCCGGCGCGGTCTTGACGTCATCATGCCTCGGAGGGCCAAGCGTACCGTAGTTATGAGTCTTGCCACTTGGTGGCGTCAGCGTGTTACAATCTCGCATAGTCGAAGTACCCGAGGGCTGTAGTAGCATACTGCGGAGCCGGCGGAGCGGCTTCAAGTGAATGGTCGCCGACCAACGCGACGAGAGCGGTGGGTAGATGACATTAATAAGGACGAAGATGCCGCCACGCCGCTACATCACCAGGCCATGGTGGCCGAGAAGCGATTCTGCCTAGAGTCGTATATTTGTACGACCCATCTGTCTTGTCTTCATCGTCCGCAACAGGTAACAGAGCTTATTCACAAAACGATCTTACAGCAAAACCTAAGAAAAGTTCCGTATTCACGAAACGAGATTATCGCAAGTTTTTCGCACGCTACGATGAGATCCTACGACCACGCCTACGACAGCTACAAAGCTTTACGGACTTTTTGTGATCAAATTTACATCGCCAGCCACATCGCACGCTTACGTCGGCGCGACGACCAACATGCATTTCTATGTGCTCTCTGTGCGCGTCCCAACGAGAGAAAAGAAGAAAAAAAAAAAGTAACTAAAACTGAACGCCGCGGCGGAGACAAACGCAAGAACCACGGATACCTGAAAAAAGCTACAACGACAAGGACCCACCGACCAAGCGACCACCGAAGACGCTAGGCTTAGCAAAACACTTCGACGATCCGGGGCAAGACCATCTGCACACAACCGGCTGGCTTGATGAATGGAATACGCCTACGCGACCTTTGTGGACCTCCTCGTATGAATAATTTCATCCCTGGCCTCTATTTTGGGGTAAAAAGGTCAGTCTCTCCCCCCGTCGTCCCTAGCTTGTTTTCAGATGCAGCGGTGACCAATGTTTCGTCGAAAAAGGAGACACTCCTATAAATTCTATCTCCTTTTTTGTGTGTGTGTTATGGAGCTCAAATAAACGCCATATGAATTGCCTTCGCAACATGGGTACGTACACTTTTGTTTAGATGTCCATTTTATTTCGACATGATACGCCAACACATGTCGAGTTAGAGCAGTTTTTTGGGAGCGACTCAATGCCGGTCCAATCTTTCTCTGCCGAGCGTCTCGTCAGCATCGAGTTGCGATTGTCTAGAGGCCCAGCGGTTCATAAAATCGGTTGTAAAAGACCGTTCCCGAAGCGGCTACCAAGAACGCTGACATTCTTTTACTCCAACCGTATCTTCCTGGACGTTGGCTCTCTCCCGCATCCCCGAAAAGCGCCGCAAAGATTTGTTTACATGCGCGCCGCTTTGCAGAGACGTACGGGCCGTCTCCTTTTAGCAACGATGGTAGTTGTGTTCACTTCTTAGCGATCGAGTTCGTTATCAGTTGCGGTCGACGAAGGCAGCTATCTCGTAATCAGGAAAGGTGGGCATGCGAGCCCGTTTTAAACAGACATTTCGTAGCGTGAATATTACATCGCACGTACACGATCTCCAAACCAGCCCAAAGAAGCGTTGCCGGAAAGACCACCCGATACTAAAACGAACGGTGGCCAACTCTGCTGTTGCTTTCTCCACCAAAGCGCCTCGGTACTACGTTCAGGCCTAAGTAATGCCTATGAGTGACCGTACTTCCCGTTGTGGCGCTGCTCTTAGAGGCATATTGTCGTCACGACATTCCATCGAAGCTTCACAGACATCCACGAGGTGGTTTTTGGTTATCGTTTTATTCAGTTTAAAATTCGTTTTCTCGCGTTCTCCTACGGAATATTGGTATTGATGAAGTCCTACTTTAACCCTCTTTATGTTCAAGCAAAAAGATGGGCTCTAGAATTTGGGGGGAGAAAGAAGAAGCTGCCGACCAGTTCGGACGCATTTTTCTTGCTCTTAACCAATGGCCCCTGAATTTCTTTTCGGGGGACATGGCGAATCCTGTCCAGTTCCCGGAACTCACCCCGCAAGCTGGGCCTTCGACGGAAGAAGGTCCTCTGCCTTTTGCAAGTCAGGCAAGTGAGGCTACTTTCAGTAATATTGTAGCACCTGACGCAGCCCAGGTCAGAGAGCCGAGGATAGGGCTGTGGTCCGAGGTCATGGAGGTTACCGAGAATACGGAAATCTCCGAAGACCACGGAAACAGGTCTACACTACAAGAGGCTCAAACTCAGCCATCTTCAAGAAATTTTGAATTGTCGGCAGAGACCGAAATCAGAAGACTGCTCGAGGGATTACCCCACGAGCTTCAACTACAAATTCTCAAGAAGCTTCTCGTAGAGAAGCATAGCGAGAGTACGAGCAAACCCAAGAAAAAGAAGAAATCAAAGAAAACCAAGGGTGCTCCCCAAGGTCACGGTAGCGTGGCTGCGAACCAAGACCGTCCAGGTCAAGGAACGCAAGCAGCGCCACTACCGAATACGAAGCCATCAGGTAATGCCGGCGGGTGCCCCGTCGACACCGACGGTGCAACACCTGCAGATGGAGGCCTGACGTCACTCAAGGAAGTTGCGGAGATGGTGGCGCAAGATTTTGCGCACCGCCAAGCACCGCTAGAAAAAAGAACGGAGGAAGACACCGGAGATCC